CACTCCCGAGTTTGATGCCTTTTTGTTTTAGGAAGTTGAACCTTGGAGAAGTGAGATTTGATTGGTCCTGGAAACTGTAGTAGAAATTCTGTTGCAGAATAATGTTATTCTTAATATATATGGACCTTGCTTCGATGCTTCCTTGTGTTTTACACTGTAGTATAGGTTTTCCCCTCTCTTTGCACCACATTTTTGTTATAGAAGACACTGCTTCACTGTAATATGCAGATTGATGAATCAATGGTTTTGCCATTCTTAATTTTGTGTCTGGGAAGTAGGATTAAAAATATTACTTATGTTATTTACAACTTACTGTTCTTATGGTATTGAACATTTGTGTATTACTTTGTATGTCTTTATTATATTTACGTAATAGTTGGAATGTTGTCAATCAGTTAATGATGGCTGACCAACTAAAGATTTTCCAGTTGGATTTGCTTTCCTACCCTATTGTAAGTTTCCTTGTTGGCCTCTTCTAACTTCTTCGTGGTGACTTGATCTTGGGCACAATTGCCCAAGCTAGCACAAGTCTCTTGAGGTTAATGGTGCTATTATAGACATGCATTTTCCAGTTGCCTATCTATGTCTCTGTCTTAGTTATGGTGTTTGTAGACCATTTGTCTTGATTATTTGAATGCGGTGTCTCTTTTGTAGACTACTGGACTATTATTTTAATTTAGTCATTGCTTCTTCAAATGTCACTCTTGGCTATAATGGTATTCCAAATTTCCAATCTTTGAGTACATATTGAGGAGTGGTTGTTTTTGCCACAACAAAAAACATAAGCTGCCTAGTGTCTCTTCATTATTGTGTGATAGCATTTCGATTCTCATTATAAGATTGCCTTGTTTAATAGGTAAAATACCAAAACTGCTTCTCATGTTGGCAAAGCCTGATAGGCTATGCCAGGGCAATTGGATGTTTCAGAATTTGATTCTGTTGTTTACTGATTATGGTGCAATTGTTTTTTTTTGAGTTTACTTGGACAATTGGGTAGGGGTTACTAGTTTTGGTGAGTCATTAGTCCAAAAATGTTGTGGCTAAGAACTGTATCCTTTCTTTGGGTACACTAGACGGGTAGTAGGATTTAACTCTAGGTCTTTTGTGTAGAAAAGAGTATAGTTTATCAAGTTTATTCTGATAGTTAGCATTCTAGACTGAATGATGATACGTGTGTGTATGTCTGCTGCTGAAGTCTATAGTGGATTACGATTTCAACTGCTTAAATGGCAGCCCTTCCCTAATGACCAACACTGAGGCCTTGCTATCATATACAAGTGAATAGAGAAGGATTGATTGTCTTTTAAACATAACAACTAAGGGTGTGTTCACAAGGAATGAGAATGAAAAGCATACACATTATTTGAACAATTTTTTACAGGGCATTTGGTTGGAACTTGGAAGGAAGGAATTGTAATTTGGTTGGAAAAGAATAATGTAAGAATAAAGTATGAATTCAAATTACGTTGTTTGGTAGAGTGAAATAGTATTATTGGGATTGAGAAGGAAAGAAGTGGTATAGCACCAACAAAGGGTTGTAGTGTCATTTCATCAATTTTTTCCTTTCCCACAACCATTGAATTGCAATTCAATAAAAGGAGGGAATTGCAATTTCGTGAAATTGCTATTCCCTCAATTGTTATACCGTGCCCTGGCAACATTGTTTTGAATTTTAATTTTGATTGCGACCGTTTGTTCTTCAGTTCATTTTACAAGATTTTTTTTTAATCATTAAAGCATGTGTATATGTCTTGTGTTATGCGTTTCTGTATCTCATGTTATGCAATTCTGTACCTTAAGCGTATGGATTCTGTACTTGAAATAGATTAGTATTTGTGTAACATACAACATATTGTGTCTTATTTTACGAATTTGTCTTGTATTATGAAATTATGTGCCCCTATAGAACATAAATTATCTTCATAAATCAAATTTAAGAATAAGTAAATATATAACATATGTATGTGTCTTGTGTTGTGAGTTTTTTTTTTTTTTTTTTTTTTTTTTTGTTATTATTATTATTATTATTATTATTATTATTATTATATTATTTTGTATAAAGGTATTTATGTCTTTATTTATTTATTAAAACCTATTTTATATCTATTCCTTTAACCAACCAAACACTGTAATAAAATTTCTAAAGTCTATTCTTTCAGCGAATTAAACAATATAATACAATTCTTATTCTATTTCATTCCTTATGGAATAACATTCTTATTCCTTCCAAATTCATTCCGTGAACCCAAACTTGCTGTAACAGTTGTAAAAGAAGGAAAGCAATGCGTAAATATATGAAAAAGGGACATTAAATGTTGGTGTAGTAGTAAAACAAATACACCCTAGATAACTACATAATGAAATGTTGCAAAAATATGTCACACCCTAGGTAAAGTGCTCCCCCATCCTTGAGTGTCATCACTGCAACTTCGCCACTCTCTAGTACGTGCAGCTATGGGTGCCCATCCTGGTAGAACCACCCACCTCTGCCTCAACTATGCTTTTTTTTTTTTTGAAAACTATGCCTCAACTATGCTTTCTTCCACTATTCTGGCTTCAAAATTCAAATACCAGGACTCCAGGAACGTAATTCTGTGGTTTTTGCGTCGCTAAATAGACGACGTAATTTATATCCGTCGCAAATTCCGTCTTGAATATTTTACCGCCAAGATTTCGCGGGTTTAATTTTCTCTTTGCGCTAAAAATCGCGACAGAATTAATTTCCGTCGTTAATTTGCAACGAGAACTATTCCCTCGTGATTCACGATTTTTCTTGTAGTGGAATAAAATCAATAGTCAATGACCATTTATAGTCAAATTGAAAAACAATGATGAAAATTAGTAAATGTCAATAGTTAAGAAACCAGTTATGGTTAAATTGAAAGTCAAGAATAAAAATTAGTAAATATTAATACTTATTATGATTCCTGGATTAACTCTAAATAAAATTTGAAATGGGTCAAATTAGCCTAGTTTGGGAAGAAAAACTCAATTCTAATCACATCTTTACAGACAGATATGCAGGAATGCCCTTTTCTCACCAACCTGTGAGGATTTGAGCTAATTTGTTGATAATTTATTCGCGGTTATTAATTAGTTATAATTTTTGGAAGCTATTAATTAATTATAATTATTGTAGGCTATTAATTAATTATAATTGTTAAAAAAAATTCACTTATCATCCCTTGACTATTGTATATGTATCAAATTTGATTATTGACTATCAATATTTTCAAATTAGGTGCATGACTATGTAATTTGTATCACATTTGATCATTAATTATTAATATTTTCAAATTAGGTGCATGACTATGTATTTGTATCACATTTGGTCCTGCCATCTAATTTTCTGGCCAATTTTCGGCCAACTGTTTCCAAAATTTCAACAAAAAAAAAAATAATATATTCTAATTAAAAGAGTATTTTTTTTGTTAGGAACATTTGTAATTTATATTTTGATGATAACAAAAATTAGACATTTTAGCCCCCATTGATTTTATCCTTTAGACTTAAGAACTCTTTTTCACAATTTTCGAAGAGTCCAAATGGTAATCCGAAAGGTTACGTTTCGGATAAGTCAAGATAGTCCGAATGGTTACATTTCGGACAGCCAAGAAGAAACTTTAAATTATTGAAGATCAGAAGAATTGAAGAACTCAAGACTATAAGATCAAAAGGTTGTAAAAGGTTGAATGGTGGAAGGGCCTACCTTTCGAAATACAAGAATGAATGAATGGCAAGGACACCCATTCATAACCGAGAAGTATCAAAGTGTCAAGGTTCGAAACATTAACTCGAATAGTGTCAGTTAACTGTTCGAAATGACTGCTCGAGACATTATCGGAGCCAACAGTTCGAAACCTTAAAACACTAATGCTTTGTGGTAAAATGTGACCAAGGGAAACCAAGGCAAAGAGAGTCCTAGGTACACATCCCAATAGATTTTCCTTAAAAAGACTAGACATTTGTGTAGAACAAAAAGATATGTTCAGCGCAAATTAAGTGGTCTAACGGTTGGAAAGTCTAACACGCAAAAGCTACTTTGCAGAAAAAGCGCTGGTTAATAGACGTTTGAAATGGTTTTTCCTCCAACGGATCCTTTTTAAAACGCCTATAAATAACTTCATTCAAAGCAAAAGAAGTTGTTGATCTATTGAAGTAAAAATTGCAAGTTTTTCCAAGTGTTCTCAACAAGTTCAAAGCAAGTCCAGTTAGAGAAATTTAAAAAGTTATAAAGTTTTATCCAGATTTAGAAGCTTGAGCTACTCAAACATAAATATCAAGTTCATCATTAAAAGCCAAGCTTTCTCGTTGGAGATAGAAGAATTATTTTCTTCAAACCTTTGTAACTCTACACGGCAGAAGTAGAAAGTCCAGAGTAAACTCGATGTTGTGTTGAAAAACCTAAGAAGTTCAAGGCCCACTTAGTGTTCAGGGCTTGAACGTTTTGTTTTGTACTAAAGGAATTAGTGCAAACTTTCTTAGCACTTAATTGAAAAATATTAACAGTTAAGGACAAAATTTAATACATATACAATACTTAGATAATCAAAAGCTAAATTTTTTCTTATAATTATTGAAGGCTATTAATTAATTATAATTATTGTGGGCTATTAATAAATTATAACTATTGTGGGCTATTAACTAATTATTATAACTATTGTCAACACTTATGTCATGGATCCGGGTCTACCTTGTAAGGTGAATTTATGTCAAAATATATATATTAAATGTTCACAATTTACATACTGAATATTCACAATTAAATTGTGAATATTCAGTATGTAAATTGTGAACATTTAGTATATAAAACTGTGAACATTGAGTATATAAATTGTGTATTTTTGGACCTGAGCTCACCTTGCAAGGTGGACCGGGTCAGCAGAATAATTTGGTAACTATTGTGGGCTGTTAATTAATTAGAATTATTGTAGGGTATTAATTAATTATAATTATTGTAGGCTACTAATTAAATATTTTGAAATAGGTGTAAACACAGCATCTATTAGCTGGGCGTGGGAGTCTATTTCCCTCTCCTCACTGTCTCAGATTTCAAACTTGAGTCCATTGCAGCTTTCAGATTTCAGATCTCAGTCCATCGGACTCCTCACTAATCCGGTTTGCTTCTGCTCATATGTAAGTCTACTCTTTGCAATTTCAAAGATTTTTCATCGACCCATTTCGCTGTACTTCAGATTATTGTGTACCCCCTCTTCTTCTGTGAGTTCAGTTGTGTAGATTCCATTAATTTTCTTGCTGCTTCTACTTATCGTACTGCAAAATTTGATGTATGTGTGGTTGATTCTTCAGAAATTAATCAATTTCGAACAATTATAGAGGTGAATAGGAAGGGTTTTTTGTCAGATTTTCAGTGCATTCTCGATTGAATATTGGATTTGCCTAGCATGTGTGTATCAGTTGTTGGAGTTTTGTTTGATAGAGTAAACGAATGAAGTTCATTTCTTGATCGATATGCCTATACACATTGTTATTTTCTGTTTCATTCCTCATATTTAGTAATGCAGATTAATTATTCCTGTAGAGATAAGTAGAATTTGAATTGGGTGAGATTCTAGGGCTGGATGTAAAATGAAAGAGTGAATTTGTAAAAGTAAAGTCTTTAGATTCCGTGAACTCAAATTTCAATAGAAGAGTTCCAGGTATTCATAAAATATACTCTGTACAAGGATATATAAGGCCACATCAGTCATTCAGAATTGCTTTATAACTAATAGTAGTTTCTTTAGAATGTGTTTCTGGTAAATCTACACAACTAAGAATAGCTTCACATATATGCATTTTCCTATTTTGTTCTGTAATTGTTCAATTTAATTGTCACTCACCCTTATCTTTGGATGAGGAACAGGATTCATGATTTTTGAGATGGAATTGGTTTCTCACTCTCACATGGTCGAAAATACCTTGTATGAAGTTTATTGTACCTGAAAATGGTTATCATCATTCTCTGTGCCCAAAAAAAATCTAGTATCTATTTGACTTACCTCCACAGTGGTCTGATAGCTCTGTTAGTTCTATATGTTGAGAATAGGGTATTTTTTTCTTCTGTTGTAGGGCGCTGCATGGTGTTACAAAAGTTTGAGTTTTTTTTTTGGATAAATTGTAAACTTGTATCTGGCTCTGTATATATTAGTGGTTTGTTCATTTCGGCTGTATGATAAGGCACTAAGTCAAGATACAAATGAAAATGGAAACTAACCAATCAATCAAGCATTAGATTTGTAGGTCATAAATGGAGCATAATTCATGGGATTGGAGTAGAAAATCAGGGGAAGACAAATCACATAATTTATGCTATTTACTTAATTTATTCATTGTATGAGGATCCTGCATCGAATATTGGTTAGGAAACATTAGCTATTGTAGCTGGGCAAGAATCCATTCTTGCTGGAGGATACATTGTAGTATCCTTGTTTGACCCTTTTCATTTTAATCCCATCATTTCTCCAGTGCTTCTTCCTCATCGGCTCTTTACTCTAACACTGTATCACTTGTAATTGCAGATATCAAGGCAGCTACAGGTGGAGTTTGACACCGATGGAAATGCAGGAAGGAGGTCACCCATACGTTCCTAGAGACCTAAAATTGCCTGGGTTTGTGCCTTGTTTCCTCACACAATTGGACATTGTTGGTGTGTATGGAGGTGTTTCTACACTGGTTGTTGCATTCATGTGGATCTTCTCTGGTAATCATTCAATCACAATTCATTGGTTCTTTCCCATAATAATGCTTCTGCCTATTTTTCCTTATATAAATCATGATCTATATATTTTAATGACTGGCTAGCTTTATATTTACAAAGAGCATATACAGTGTGGTAGTTGCCCAGTCCCTTACTACGACTATCTTTTCAAGGAAAGTAGCCACGCAAAGCTGTGGAACACCATAGTCACTATGGTATTCCATCTTTTTAGAGTTAGAATTGCATTGCATCTTTTCCATGGCAAAAGCCCTGGGCATGGTATGTGACAATCCCATTGTTGTTCAGGAAAGGTCATGATTGACCCATGGTATTTGCCTTGACATTATGTTGTTAGATTCCAGTAGCAAAAGGAATTGCAGATTTTCATTTCTAGTTATGACAATTTTCAGTCCAGAAAGTACTGTATTATTCACCCAAGTCTTTCAGTTCAATTTGCATGAGATAGGTCTAGGTATTAAACACATGCACATTTCCAGGCACAAATGACAAACTGCGTACTCAAAAAAAAAAAATAATAATAATAAAATAAAGGGAAACTGTATAATAAAATGTGAAAGGTCATATTAATTTCATGCATTCTCAGATTGAAATCTTGATGGTCATTTGTTTGCCTTGTGCTAGGGCGGTTCCCTAAAATATCAAAGGGCGACAGGTTGCTCATGTGCTGGTGGATATTCACTGGCCTTACACACATGATCCTTGAGGGCTACTTTGTTTTCTCTCCTAATTTCTACAAGGAAAAGACTCCCGTTTACCTTGCAGAAGTTTGTAAGTTCTCAATTTGCTATGTCATTCTTAACCCACCAACATTTATTGTGGTAACATTCATTTCATTAGTATCAATTTCACCTATAAATAAAATTGGCCAGGGAAGGAGTACAGCAAGGGAGATTCTCGGTATGCAGCACGTGATTCTGCTGTTATTTCAGTTGAAGGAATCACAGCCGTTCTAGAGGGACCAGCATGTCTTCTTGCAGTGTAAGTACCTCAAAGAGTTGCTTAAATTACAGAGAAGTATCACGCGGACTAATCAGTTTAGTTGTCTTTAATCCTTTTTCTGAACTCGTGATCTCTTCTGATCTGGCAGGTATGCTATAGCTACAAAGAAGTCGTATAGGTATATACTACAGGTGGCTATTTCTTTGGGCCAGCTCTATGGTACTGCTGTATATTTCATTACAGCTGTCTTGGAGGGTGATAATTTTGCTGTAAGCCCCTTTTATTACTTCTGGTACTATGTCTTTGCAAATTCCTTCTGGGTCTGGATACCCACAATCATAATCGTCCGTTGCTGGAGGAGAATTAGTTCTGCTGTCCAGATACAAGACCAGACAAAGACCAAGACTCGCTGAGGCCATCTTTTCATTTGTTGTGGTACTGAATTTATTTGAGTTTTGTGGGAACAATACAGGCTGTTGGGACTCATTTCTTTAGAGATAGAACTGTAATGCCCTGGTAATAGTGATATATTTAAAAGGAACTTTTGGATTCGTTTTGGCTTCATTCCAGTCCCATTCATATAATGGGGTTGTTTGGTAGGATAGAATTGCAATTCCATTCCTACCAAACTCCATGAAGTTGCAATTTCATGGTTTGATTGGAGGGAATTGCAATTTCACAGAATTACAATTCTTAAGGTTCCCTCTAGGAATTGCAATTCCACACTGTGAAATTGTAATTTTATGATAAATTACCATTTTATTATTTTTATGATTATTACTCGGTATTATATAATGACATTTTAGTCTTTATTCATTTCTTTCCCTTCAATTCCTAATCATTTTATTTGTTCCTATTGAATAATGTAATTAAAATTCCACTTTATTGTTTTGTCACGTAATTACAATTTCTTTCCCCACTAATTCCCTCTTTCCAACCAAACACCCTTTAATATTTTCTTGTGTTTCCTTGTACACATGTAGGCTGTAGCTTGGAACATATGATAAAGCAAATGTGTCGTGTCATTGTTGTAGAAACCGGTCACCTAACGAGCTCGCCTTGCCTTTAAAAAAATCCTACTAATACATAGCTGAGAGCTTGAGACACTCCCTCCTCCAGAGTCTCACCTTAGTGATTTACTCTTTTTTTTTTTTTTTTTTTTTTTTTTTTTGTAATGACAAGTTATGGCTGAGAATGAAAATAACTCCAATTATGATCCATCAACATATCCTCAAAGAAGACTAAATCTAAAGGCCCATCTTGTTGAGATTTGAGATAATTGAAGAAGGAAAACAATGCACCCATCATTTGAGAAGCTAATAAAAAAAAAATATACTCGAAAGAATGAAAATGTGCACTAAAAGAAAGAAAATAATGTACCCAAAGACAAATGAAATATAAATTTACTTACACAATTATCATAATACCACTGCTTTTTAAAAAACATATTTCATTCTGGACGATCTATATATATATGGCAGCTCGAAAGTCTGCCTTAATAACAATGTGTAAGAGTTGTCATAGGTCTAAAGAGGAATACAGTAGGCATAACTAACTTGGATGCAAATAAAAGGCATACAGCTTTGGCATAGAGAAGCCTTAAAATAAAGAAGTTGTATAGAGAATGCGGAGGTGGAACCACACACTTCTGTATATGGGGGGAAAACTAACACTGAAGTGAAATCACTTGAAAATTCAACAAGGATCTAGTTACAGAGAAGGGGGAAATAAAGGTGGCCACATTATAAGATGAAGAAGACAATTTCAAATTTTCACCATCCATACTTCCCCTGTGTTTGAGCTTTGGTAAGCATCCCTCTAGCACGCCTCTCTGCAAGTTCAGTCTCCTTTTGTCTCATATCAAAATATAAGGAACCAATTTGATGCTTTCTCTTGTGCAGTTTCGTTGGCTTACCCTTCGTTGAAGCAGGCTACAAAAAAACATAATGGGAAATTACTAAGAAATCTCATATTCACTAAAAAGTGTGTAGCAATATTAGCCAATTCTTGTGGTCTCTACCGGGCCTTAAATGAAGATGACCAAAAAAAAAAACGTAAAAACTATTTGATGGATACTTCCTCATGGCAATCAGTATATTCTGCTTGTATACTCCGAACTTCAGTTAACTACGATAATTTTCACATCTTACCATTCTCCAATTTTAGTGTTCATGCATTAGACCTATATGGACCATTTTTACGTAAGAATGACTCTCCAAAGGTGCAGTTAACTTCCCATAATTTCTGCTTAATTTTACGTTTTGAGAAAACCATAGCTCAATTAATATCTAAAATAGTTAAGCAGCAAGCAGCTAAGAGATGCAAAAGCAAAAGAAGGAAAAGAAGGGAAGAAATTAATAAAATGCAAGCAAGACAGAATATGGATCCATAATGCTGAGAGAGAGAATTCTATCAGGTTACTACTGAGCAGACCACAAGGTTATTACTAGCAGCTTTGCTACAAACCTGTTAATCTAATTCCACAAGAATCTTAGACTATGACTTTTCACAGAGATTACTACACCTTAGCTAAAATATATTCCTATTTTTCTAGGTATTAATTAATAATCTAGATATGATTGAGGTTTTATCATTTGAGTAATAATATAAGCATCCCATATGCTAGTGATATATATCACACATATGTTTCTTGCATTAATCTCTTTTATTGCCATGATATTAGGAAGCAAACCATCTTCTTAGTTTTAAGTTTTCTTGAAAAATTACTAAAACATAGAAAGCAATCCCAATCAAGAACCAAAGATTTGATCTCTATGGTCATTATATTTGCAATAGAAATCAAAATCAGTTCTACCCATTATGGAAATCAAGAAGTTTATTTGCATAGGAAACACCTACCTTGTATGATGGCCCAAAAGCAATCCCGGTGAGTCTGACCTGATCTTCCCTCGGGCGATTCTTCATCAACTCATCCTGCTTCACCTCAACTATTTCTTGTGTAGCATCTTTCCTTCCACGCTTCCCCGTCAACCTCAATGCACTTTCAGCTGCTTCCGGGAGTTGTTGCGAAGAAGCATTAGAGCCATCAACCCAATTATGCTCAACCTGTCCATAATCACCATAACTGGAAGCATAGTTTGAATACTGTTCCCCGTTCGGTCCAACCAAATTAGAATACTGGCCATCCTGGCCATCACCATTACCATATCCAGTATAGCCTTGGTAGTTGGGATAACCCTCACCCTCTGTACCCCATTGCTGATATCCACCAACAGGATCCACATATTCGGATTGATACCCTCCAGAGGAGCTCACTGTTGATCCTTGAACAGATTGGGCTTCATTAGAAGCAGCAGCAGGCACATTGGCTTCGAGAATGGACCGTCTACTAGTGCCAGAACCAAGGGGCAAAGCTCCCAATGTACCCGAGCTCTTTGGCGCGGGCAAGCTCCATAACAAACTCTTCCCAGCAGACGGAGCCTGCAACGCAGGATCGGATCCTTTTCTTCGTTTTTCTTTCTCCTCATCCTCATCATCATCAACAATAGTATCCTTAATCCCGGAAGAAAAGACTGGCGGCTTAAATTGAACAACCTTTTTGGGTTTAGGTTCCGAAGAAGCCAAGGGAGTCGGGAGGTTAAGGGGGTTTGCTCCGAATGCCTTGGGAGCAGGAAGTGAAGAAAGTATAGAGGAAGATGATTTTGGTGGCGGAAGAGAAAACAAGGAGGAAGATGATTTTGGTGGCGGGAGAGAAAACACTGAGGAAGGCTTATTGGCAACAGATAAAATATCGTCGTCGTCGGAGTTTCCATTTGAGGGTCGGTGATTCTGCTGTTGCGATGATTCTTCTTCATCTTCCTCTGATGAGGCATAGTTCGCTAGCAAAGAGTCCATTGGCGATCAACGAAGGATAGGAATATGGGGATTTGGATTCGCAGAAGCGCCCCGAGGTAGGGTTAGGGTTTGAGATTCGGGAATTGCAGAGTTGAGATGCGGGACAGAAATAACGACGCCGTATTGTTCCCTCTAAACCAGCTTTGCTACTCGGGAGAAGCAAAAGACGAAAGATTTATTAGGGATAACAACCATACCTGAATTATATAGTATGTAATATGTACCGGAGTATATATATACTTATTTCTTCCCCCAATATCTATACTTATTTCTTCTCCCACTTAATATATAAAAGGGAATATGACATTTTTTCCACAGCACTTTTTTTTTTTTCTTAATTATTCATGTAAGTATATTAATCTATCTCTCAATTATTAGTTATATACTTATAGTACTTTTTTTCCTTAATTATTCATGTAAGTATATTAATCTCTCAATTATTTCAAAAGTGACGGTTTCTCCATAATATATTAAATTAACATTTCTACCCTTAAAACAAATATTTTATTCGAATTGAACCGATATCCAGAAATGTCAATATTTGGATTTCAATTTATTAAAATTATGAATCGAAAAAACTAGATCCTAAACCGTGAACCGGCGGTTTCGGATCCGATTCGCGATTTTGAATCGTTTTTATTTTAAAATTTTATTTGTTATTTTAAAATAGTATAAATTCAACAATAAATGTATTTTATTTTTTCAATTAAGAACATGAACCAGCCGTCCCGGTTCACGATTTTAATAAACTCTAAATATCGTGTTTCGATTCTAAATTGTAATTAGAATATTTTGATTTGGTTGCGATAGTGTCTATTTGGTTTGAACCAAATTGTATCAAATGTCAAGAGGTCTTGAATGCCTTATACAACACTATCCTTAATCTCGGAAAAAATGACCGGCGGCTTAAATTGAACAACCTTTTTGGGTTTAGGTTCCGAGGAAGCGAAGGGAGTCGAGAGGTTAAAGGGGTCTGCTCGGAAGAGATTTTGGTGGCGGAAGAGAAAACACGGAGGAAGGCTTATTGGCAACAGATAAAATATTGTCGTCGTCGTCGGAGTTATCTAAAGGTGCGGAATTTGAGGGTTGGTGATTCAGCTGTTGCTATGATTCTTCTTCTTCTTCGTCTGAAGAGGCATATTTGGAAACAAAGAGTCCATTGGCGATCAACTAGGGATAGGAATAGGGGATTTGGATTTGCAGAAGCGCCCCCAGGTGGGGTTAGGACATCCTCAATAGTTAGAAATTTTACTCCAGATTTTTGTGGGCCCCAACATCCAACTCATTATCTACTATCCCACTCAATCACAAATCTCTTCTTCTCATTAGAGCATCTACATCAGTAGATAATACGGGGAGATTGCAGTATTAATTCATCCCACCCAAGATAATAGCTAATGTGGGGGAGAATTATTTGAGAAATAATTCTCCTGCAAATGAAGAAAGATTTTAGAAATGGTGGGACCCACCACAAAAATAAAAATAAAGAACCACAGGTGATCACCATAGCGCACTGCGGGCGCGTGCACGGGCGCGCCTGACAGTCTCAATTTTTTTTTTTTTTAAATTTAATTTTCCTTTTTTTCTCTCCCCTCCCATATTCTCTTTCCTAATCACTCTTACATTATTTCCCTATTCTCCCCAACAAATGTGGATGCTCTTAGTTTTAAGTTTTTTCATAACTTTTTGTGGACCCACCATTTTACTTTATATATTTTAATTATTTTTTTATAATTATTTTTAAAATTATAATTATAAATTTAATAACATTATAAAAATTATAATTAAGATTTTTCTCAGTTTTTTATAGACCCACCATTTTACCATTATATTTAAAATAAGTTGAAAATTATAAATGTTTACAATTTTTTAAATATAATTTTATTAAGTAAAAATTTAATAACAAAATTCAACCAAAAAAACTTTTTAAAAAAATTAAATGGCCAACTTTGAAAAAAAAAAAAAAAACAGAATATGTATGTTGGCCAGCTTAAATTTCGCAGGCTCAAGGTCCGTGAAGTGCGCTGACAAGCATTCCCTTTTTTCTTTCTGCAAAATTTCAAGTTTTGCAGGAGAAAGAACTTCTCAAAATTTTGACATTTTATTAACTTTAAACCTTGCTTCTAGTTGTTTACTATTCTAAAATCTATCTAAAATATGCTATTGAAGATGCACTTAGGGTTTAGGGTTTGAGATACAATCTATCTAAAATATGCTATTGAAGATGCACTTAGGGTTTAGGGTTTGAGATACGAAATTACGAATTACGGAGCCGAGATGCCGATGTCTCAAGAGAGACAGGCCCTCTATACATTTACCCTAGAATCTTGATGTTGTGTTTTTTCACTTGCAATTATAATTTTTTGGGTGAGAGGCTTTCTAACACCCGATTAGGATGTGCCTATACCTTTTTAAATTTCATTTTATATTTGTTTAGATTTATTAGTGTACCTTATTACGATGCGCCACTATTTTCAATATCATATTATATGTATTTATTTCCATTCTATTTCTACCCTTTAATTATTAAGGTTCTATGACAAAATTTATTTAAGAGTTCATAATTTATTTTAAACTATTAATAAGTTATAAGATCTTTTTGGTAATGTTCCAAAATAAGTTAGTAGTACAAAATAATAACTTATTTTGAAACGCTACACTAAGTAGCCTTATAAAAATAAGCTAGTAATTTCTAAATTTTTTTTTTATCTATATCTTTATTATTTAAAATAAATGAGATCATTCACCCCTCCCAATTAAAGCTCTATACTGAGACCACTTGGATTATTACAAAATGAGCCTCATGAGATTATTTATACTTATTTCACATTCTCATGGACGGAGGAGATCTACTTATTCTTATGACTTTGATTATATCTCTAAAATCCTCCTTAAAAATCTATACAATCATATGAGTTATATAATGTTTTATAATATTCTATAAATCTCTATATTTCAGAATATTAAATTTTAATATGTAAACAAAAGTATTTAAATTTAAAACTATTTAAATTCTATGAAGATATCATTTTTAATCTTTTTACATTTATCAACTTTTCAAGAAAGCTAATTTAACCAAACACTTTTAATAAGTATAATCAACTAGCTTAATAACTATTCAGTTTCCAGCTTCTAACTTATAACTTTTCAGCTTTCAGCTACTTTTCAACTTTCAATTATCTTTTCAACTTTCAATTATCTTTTCAACTAAATTTCTCAAAATATAACCTAAATGGTTATACTATTTATTAATTTTTAATTTTATTTTTAATCTTGATATATTTGATATATTATAGGCGTTTATATTGACATTGCCCACTCCAATATTTAGCGATGGTGGCTTGATTTTCTTCGGCTTTAACCCAATCTCATGTAGCCCAGCCATCTTTTCTGTGGGTTTAGGATTCTTTCTAATGAGAGGGAGTGAGGGACACGAAAACAACCCAATTTTTGCACTCATCCTTGGAATTGCAAGAGAGCAAGATTTAGATTTCTGAAATTTACTTGTTATAGGAATCGGAATCAGAATGAGAATAAATACTTAGTAATTGTATGTATTTTGCATGTTTGGTAGTAGGGTAGAATTGGAATGATTATTAATATTGATGTTTGGTTATGTATGATTCTATAATGAGAATAAATATGTTAAAAATACAAAACAAAAAATCAAGGCAATTGATCCAAATATAATGACATACAATGCACCAATATCAACAAAAAAATCAAAACAAAAATTTAAAAGCACTAATCTAAACTTAAAAATCATATTACTAATAAGATGGAATGATACTTTTTTTTTAAAAAACAAAATTAGGGAATGTGGTTTTTAATCGAAGAGGTAATCAAATCTCACAGTTGTATTTTAAAAAATTGTCAACTAAACACTAACTATGATTTTGATTATCATTCCTAGTGTGTAAACCCATGAACCAAACACACCCTAAATCTTCAAGAAAATCTTAGTAAAGTTACACCATTTTTCTCTCAATTATAAGCTAATAACCAGTTTATCTTATATGTTATATGCATCACTACTACTAAGGCTAACCTCATCCGGAAAAGATGGAATTTGCAAAATAATGTGATTATACAAGTGAAAAATATATTTTTTAAATTTTTTTTTATTAGGAGGGCTGTTGGAAATGGGGTTGATACTATTATTGGCTGGGATGATCCTTGGCTACCTCGAAGTTACAGCCAACCGTGTATGAAGCGCCAGTTTCATCTCTTCTAAATATGCAAGGTACGAGTCGTTCGAGTTGGGATGTGGATTGCGTGGATGATATCTTTACTGGCCCTGATGCTAACTTAATTTTAAATATTCTTGTTAGTACTCGGAAGCCACAAGATCAATAGATATGACATTGGGATCAAAAGAGTGTTTAATTTATACAATTAAGTCTTGTTATAAGCATCTTACTATGGTGGGTGCTGATGATCGCCCATAGACAAAAATAAGGAATTTACACGTCCCACCGAAGGTGAAGAACTTTTGTTGGCAGCTAGCATCATCATCTTATCTTCCAACAAGAGCCATGTTGTTTTTGGAAAGTTGGAAGAGTGCAAATGAAACTAGTAATAGTCCTACTACTACACGATGGATCAAGCCTCAGCATGGGAGTATAAAAATGAATAATGATATATGCTGCGATAAGCCAAGGAAACAATGTGATGGGGTTTGATTGGGTCCTACGAGATGATAAAGGAAATTTCCTAGCAGCCAAGAACACATTAATGCCTGGAATTATTTGGTCACGGAAGCTGAGGCCTTTAGTTTTCGAGAGGCCCTAAGCTGGTTAAAGGATACAGGTATATATGGAAAGTGTGGATGTGGAAATGGACTCGCAAGTTGTTTCTAATGCATGCATGCCATTCGTTGTTCCAGAAAACAACCAAGTTTCAAGCCCTGCTTCAGCCCAAGTTGAAGTCACTAAGAATGGAGTGAGAATATGCTATGGACCACCTCCTCCCAAGAAAAAACAAAAATAAATGAAAGGGAAAGTTAGAACAAGTTGACTTCCAAGACCTCCAATTAAGAAGTATTGCACCATATCTTCTACCAATTAATGTTAGGCAGTTTTTTTTTTTTTGGTCAAACTATTATTATTAGGAATGTTTTGGTGTTGGTGAATATGCCAAAATGTAATTCTGTTCTTTTTGTCAAGTTGAATTTGAATTGCTTTTGTATTGCTAATATTTGGCAAGTTGAAGCCCCAATCCAGACTATGGTTTTTTTTTTTTTTTTTTTTTTTTAAATTTTATGTGCAATAATGTGTTGTTCTATTTTTGGTTAATTATCAGGAAGTAAGCCATTTCATTGAAAGGTTTATTTGCAATGTTTTTGGTCAATTTCCAGTACATAATTTTCAGCCATTTCATATGCATTTTCAATCAATTTTTAGCCATTTCATCTGGCAAGTGCATATATACCACTACTACATAGCCACTGCATTCATAATGGTTAATTCCACTACATACACAGCTACTGCATTCATAATCTTCAATTCCAGCCCAGAATGTTCATATTTTTAGTCAATTACCAAGGAAGTCATTTCATTGAATGCAAAATATATTCCAGTACATAATGTTCATACACAGCCACTGCAAAATATTTTTGCTTCCATTTCCTCACATTAATTGATCCAAAGGTATAGAATCAGATGATGCATCCATACCACGACTCAAGAACCAACCACTAAGAACAACTATAATTACCAACATTACAACTTTAAATCGCCAACTCTTAAACCAATAGTTATCCATTGTCCTTGCACCATTCCCAGCCAATTTAAGCCTCACTTGCAATGACTTCAACTCTTCATCTTGTTTATTCAACCTCTTAAGCAGCCCTGGAATGATCTTCTTTGACCTCTCACACATCGGAGGGTCGAACCATTGTATGAACCCACATCCTCTACTCATCTATTATAATACAATTGGAATATCAATTTCAAAAATAAAAAATAAAAAAAAAATAAAAAAAAAAATAATAATAATAATAATAATAAATCAAAGGAAAATCTGGTAACAAACTTACTCCATTGCCTGGACATAGCCAAAACCTTCGCCCAAGGTTTTCATTTGTCCATGAAGTGATTAACTTCAATTGTTGTCCACATCTACATTCACCCATTGGAGTTGCCTCGCCATTATCGATACTCTCTCTTTCTCTTTGGAAGTTTGAAGCCATTATGTTTTCCTTCAAAATAAACTTTGCTTATTTGGAGAAGAAGATGGCAAGATGAAATTAATGATCAAGACAAGAAAAATGAGGAAAGGACTGAAGGAGATGAAGAACCAGATGAATATGTTGAGGAAGATGAAGATTGAGGGAAAAAAAAGCATAGATATAAATTTAGGTCATTAGTTTAGGTAAATGAAAAGACCATTATACCCCTGTGTAAAAAGTAGAAAAAAAAATTTCCGGTGAAAAATTGATGGAGAGTTCGCCGAAAGGACTATTTTTGCTAAGAAATCAATACTCATGGACCAAATATGCAAGTTTTGAAAGTTATGGATTCAAAATGTTAGTGTCATAACTCATAATAGTCGTAGGACCAAAACTGCAAAAAACTCTATGTATATACTTATTTCTTCCCCAAATATATATATACTTATTTCTTCTCCCAACCATAGCTGAGTTATACATTATGTATATACTTATTTCTTCCCCCAATATATATACTTATATAGTCTCCCACTTTATATATATATATTTTAAGTAGTATTGACTTTATTACAAGTAATATCTATTTTATATTTTCTCTATCTATTGCAGTTCAAAAAGTGAATACTCCACCTCCAAAGTTCAATCTTGTGACCTTCCCTCAAGAAAAGCTATAGAGGTGTCATCTAAACACAAAGTGTTTGGCCCCACTTTATATATACTTATTTGTTCTCCAAGTATGGTTGTTATTCCAATTTATTAATAACCCTAACTGTTATTAGGAGTAAATTAATTTGAAGAGATTGAGATTCAATTCTCCTTACTTACGACCTCCCAGTAACTTATGATTATTTTTCATTTTACCTTATTTTCAATCCTTAATCAACATAGATGGGCAGATAAAATTGTCCTACATGTTTATAGAAACCATTATTTTCATGTGATCCTAATTCTCTCTATATATAAATAGTTGAGTTTATTAAAAAAAAAAAAAAAAGAATTCATCACCCGTTATATTTGGACAAATTACTAAAACATAGAAAGCAATCTCAATCAAGAACCAAAGATTTGATCTTGAATGTCATATACAACAACAATGGTCATTATATTTGCAATAGAAATCAAAATCAGTTGTACCCATTATGGAAATCAAGAAGTTTATTTGCATAGGAAACACGTACCTTGTATGATGGCCCAAAAGCAATACCAGTCAGTCTGACCTGATCTTCCCCCGGGCGATTCTTCATCAACTCATCCAGCTTTACCTCAACTATTTGCTGTGTAGCATCATTCCTACCACACTTCCCCGTCAACCTCAATGCACTTTCAGCTGCTCCCGGGAGTTCTTGTGAAGAAGCATTAGAGCCATCAACCCAATTATGCTCAAACTGTCCATAATCACCACAACCGGAAGCATAGTTTGAATACTGTTCCCCGTTCGGTCCAACCCAATTAGAATACTGGCCATCACCATTGCCATATCCAGTATAACCTCGGTAGTTGGGATAACTCTCACCCTCGGTACCCCATTGCTGATATCCACCAACATGATCCACATATTCGGATTGATACCCTCCAGAGGATCTCACTGTTGATCCTTGAACAGATTGGGCTTCATTAGAAGCAGCAGGCACATTGGCTTCAAGAATGGACCTTCTACTAGTGCCAGAACCAAGGGGCAAAGCTCCCAATGTACCCGAACTCTTTCGCACAGGCAAGCTTGATAAGAAACTCTTCACAGATTGGGCTTCATTAGAGTCAGAAGAAGCAGGCACATTGGCTTCAAGAATGGACCTTCTACTAGTGCCAGAACCAAGGGGCAAAGCTCCCAATGTACCTGAGTTCTTTGGCACGGGCAAGCTCAATAAGAAACTCTCCACAGACAGAGCCTGCAAAGCAGGTTCGGATCCTTTTCTTCGTTTTTCTTTCTCCTCATCATCATCATCATCAACAATACTATCCTTAATCCCGGAAAAAAATGACTGGCGGCTTAAATTGAACAACCTTTTTGGGTTTAGGTTCCGAGGAAGCGAAGGGAGTCGGGAGGTTTAAGGGGTCTGCTCGGAATGCCTTGGGAGCAGGAAGTGAAGAAAGCATAGAGGAAGATGATTTTGGTGGCGGAAGAGAAAACACGGAGGAAGGCTTATTGGCAACAGATAAAATATGGTCGTCGTCGTCGGAGTTACCTAAAGGTGCGAAATTGGAGGGTTGGTGATTCCGCTGTTGCGATTCTTCTTCTTCGTCTGAAGAGGCATAGTTGGTGGCGAGCAAAGAGTCCATTGGCGATCAACGAGGGATAGGAATAGGGGGATTTGGATTTGCAGAAGCGCCCACCAAGGTGGGGTTAGGGTTTGAGATACGGAATTACGAATTGCGACGACGTATTGTTCCTCTAAAGTCTAAACCAGCTTTACTACTCGGGAGAAGCAAGTGGCGAAAGTGAAGAGAGAGAGTTCTCATGTGTTGTCATATATTAGAGTTAATTCCATTTTTGGTCCTAGACTTATTAGGGTATTGACATTTTTCATCCTCCATAATAAAAATTGTCAGTTAGTAGCCACTCTTATTGTGATAATGCCACTTTTGGTCCTCCGTCTAATTTTCCGTCAGTTGACCGTCTAAATGAGGAGTATTTCTGTCATTCCATATTATATTCTTCTCAGCGTTTAATTAGAGCTCTCCCTCCTCTCAACTGCTTGAAAGAAATGATGGCAAACCCAACCCGGTCACTAGGCCTTTGCTTCGATGTTTCAATTACAGATTTTCCAAAAAAAAAAAAAAATGATTCAATTACAGAGTAAGTGAAGTAGCTCTCATTCTCGTTGTCGACGATGTTGAAATTGAAAGCGAGACTTTGTTTCGACGTGCATAAAATTCCAGATCCGAATTTGGGCCCGTCATTCCAGTATTCCTCTGTGTTGTTCCACAATTGGAACGACGTGTTGCTGTCGTTGTCGATAGAATAGAGCATGGTGATGGATCGTCAGGAGTTTTTGAGGACGTGAGGAGTTGTTTGGGTTTGGTGCACTTGTTGTATCCGAACTTAGAACCGGACAGAAATGTGTCTGTTGGGTGTTCGACGGTTTGCCAAAATGGGGTTTTCGAACAGATGCGAGAAATCATCTCAAAATTGAACAAGTGAATTGGTAGATTAGGCAATTGAATTCATACCAAAGCTAATGGCGAGTCCCTGTTGGTTCAACACTATCATCCTCATCAATTATCAAGGCAAAATTGAATATAGGCAAAGTCATCCAAGCTACAACCAGCAGCAACACAATTCAACACAATTCGAAGCACAAAGCCATACCTGTCTGAATCAGTTTGTTCAACACTATCATCCTCATCAACAGAATTGCCATTAATTGTTGTCGCATGTCGAATTCTGTTCAAATCATCAGGAACAAGTCCCACAAGTGCCCGATCTTGTCCACCAAACTGCCCATGCACCCTGTTCTGCCTGCCTTGGTCACCATTTCCATTCTCTTGCCCACTATTATCCTCAGGTCTAGGCAATAAGAACTAAAGTAAGCCAAGAGACCAACCCACAGTAGTAAACCAATATCGGAGAAGAGACATGATAACCTCTCCTCTGTCTCCACCAAATTCGCCCATTCTGATGCTGAAATTCGCACAATAGGCCGATAATCCTTTGAGATTTCATTCGGATTACCAGTTCTGGCTAACCAATCTGCTCGAACTTGCTTCGGACTCCCCGATCTGGCATACGCACGAGAATCTGCTTCCTCTCACCTCTGAAATAGACTTCTGGAAATCGCATGCAATCTGTTGGTAGATCTCCCAATAGATCATCAGTCTGAGCTTCTGGATGCTCCCTTGCGATTATTTCTGTCAAATTTCGGTTTTTCAGCGACGTAATCGACCGGCGCCGCGGCCGTGGTGAATGTTTCTCTGGGCGTTAAGGAAATGAACGAATTTTCCTTGCTTTAGCTTGAATGTTTGATTGGTGAAAAGATAGAAACATTGATTGTGCAGAGGAATGGGGGGAGTCTACGCAACCTATGAACATAGCTGAAGGTTGCCATGAGAGGAGCTCGGGGGTTCAAAATCACACTCAAGTCAATGAAATCTTTTGAGCACCAGATAAAAAGACAGCTTTGCCCTTCAATTAGACGGTGAAGAGATGGATTCAGTGACGGAGGACCAAAAGTGTCCAACGACTAATAACAGTGGCTACTAATTGGCAATTTTTATTATGGAGGATGAAAAGTGGCAATGCCCCCATAAGTCTAGGACCAAAAATGGCATTAACTCTCATATATTATCTTAAATTGTCATAGAATAGAGAATACAAAGCCGCCCTATAAATAGGAGATAGAAGACTACGAATAGGAAACAAGATTCCATATACTCTACTTTCCTAAATTCCTAAGACTGCCTAATCTATAGAGATTCTATATATCAAATATATATTCTATATTCCATAACAGATACCAACCATACTTGGGTTATATATTAGAGTTAATTCCACCGGAGGTCCTTGTCTTTGGTGGCAATTCCAAATTTAGTCTCAAATTATTGTTTTTACCATTTAATATTTCAGATTATTAATTTTTGGACACTTTTAGTCCTTTTTATATTTTTAGTAACGACATTTTTATCTCTTCATATTTTTCTTTTGTTATTTTTTCGGTTTCAACCGGTTTAATTGGTTTAAGATTTTACTAAAACCGGTTGAAAAATAAGGTTACTAAAAATCAAAGGTTACCTAAATTTTTAAACTAATTAAACCAGAAAAATAACAAAATAAAAATATAAAAAGACAAAAATACCCTTACTAAAAATAGAAAAAGTCATGATAAGGACTAAAAGTGTCCAAAAAATAATAGTCTAGGATGTTAAATGACAATAACGATAGTCTGTGACTAAATTTAGAATTATCACCAAAGACAATGGACCTCTGGTGGAATTAACTCTATATATTATGTACTAGTAAGTTTCTCGTGCGATGCACAGACTATTATTAATTTAATAAATGAGCAAATTACATTTTTTGTTCTATGACTATAGTGGGCGTGTTTATTTCGCTCCATGACTTTTAAAACTAACAATTTAGTCTTTTAACTATGCTTTTTTTTTAGCAGATTTGGTCCTTCCGGCCAAATTACCGGTGGAAATTGGCCGGAAAAATTTAAACATTTTTTAATTTTTATTCATGAGGGCAAAATAGTCTTTTATGTAAGCTGTTTCTTCTTCTTCTTCGCGTTCATGAGCTACGGTTAACAGTTGAATCTGCTTTCAAGAAAGAACAACTCCAAGAATTGAAGCCCCACGTTTAGAAGCAAGATATGATTTTTATCCTCGTCTTTTTTTTCATGTCTATTGCGCATTGCTGGATTCATCTTCCCCAGATCGCACGATATAAAGCTCTATAAAAAATCTAAACTCCTAGAAATATTCTTCTCCATATTCTAGTCACAACCATCCTCCCAATTCCATCCACGACCAAAATATAATTGTAGTATTGGTTGTGATCCTGTGGATGATGGTTTATTTATAGTATTGAAGTAGGTGTAGATGTTCATGTAAATATTGATTCTGAATTTTAAATTTATCTCCAATCAATTAATGTTATAAACATAACATAATTATTGCAATGTTAATTCTCAATTATGCATCAACAATTATTTCTCAAATTAATTTTGTGAATTACTCTCCTATCCACTAAAATCTTTTTGCTTATTGTTCACTTTGATTTTCTTTTCATCTTTATTTAATTATTTATGATGATTATGATTAGAGAAATTGTTTCCCTAATCATTTTACTTTAATATATATAGAGATAGAAGTTTTTCCCTCATCATTTTGCTTTAATATATATAGAGATAGAGATATAATATACTCCGTATAATATATAATATATGCAATATTTTATAAATTAATGATATAGACATGTTATGTTGACTAATTTAATAATTATGTTGATGTTAATTTGATTTATAATTAAAATTATATGAATTTATAAATTAATGTGAATACAATAAATGTTTCACACTTTGGAGGAAAAATTTGTTCCCTAATCATTTTGCTTTAATATATATAGAGATAGAGATATAGAGATAGAGATATAGAGATAGAAATATACTAGATTGGGATCATCAAGTGCAAAAGACTCCCCATGTGAAAAATGGGCACAAATCTTAGCTATTAAATTCATCAAGATCTATTGTTCTTAAAAAAAAAAAAAAATTACACTTCGAATTAACAAATAGTGTGCACTTGAAAGCACAAAAACATGCACTTGAAGCAGAAAAATGTGCACTTGAAGACCAAAATTCTGCACTCAAAGGCACAAAGATGTGTAATCGAGGCAATTTATGGTACCAAAAAGGGAAGTTATTTAACTTAAGTATTATTAAAGCAATTACCCATACAAATCGTTTGTAAATCTCACAAATTTCATTAGAAATTTAGTTATACATTGTTGCAAAGAAGACAAAAGACATGATAAACAAGACTCATAATAATGCACTTGAAGGCAAAAAAATGTGCACTTAAGTCACAAAATTATGCACTCGAAGGTTAAAATTTTGCACTCAAAGGCACAAAGATGTGAAATCGAAGCAATTATGCTATCAAAAAGGGATTTATTCAATTTAAGTGTTATTGAAGCAATTACATATACAAACCGTTTGTAAATTACATAAATTTCATTAGAAATTTAGTTATACATTATTAAAAAGAATTCAAATGATATAATAAACATTGACCCATAATTATATACTTGAAAGCACAAAAATGTGCACTTGAAGGCACATAAATGTACACTCGAAGGCTAGATTTATGTACTGAAAGGCATAAAGATGTAAACTTAAAGGGAAAACTATGTTATGAGACAGAACATATGCACTTGAAGAAAATAAAATGTGCACTTGAAGAAGAAAATATGTGCACTCGAAGACAAAGACCATTTGAACTTGCTTCGAGTTATTTAACATAATGCCACCACATTTTTTTTAATTATCCTCATTATTGACTGTTGATTTGAATGTGATCAACGAATGAGATCAAACCTTATTTTTTACCTAAACAATACTTCCCATTTAATCCGATTTTTGTATATACTTATATCTTCCCCCACTTTATATATATATATATATATATATATATATATATATATATATATATATATATATATATATATATATATATATATATATATACACGCATTCAAAAAAAATATATATATATATATACTTTTTTTAAAGTACTATTGAACTCTATTACAAGTAGTATTTGTTCTATACTTTCTCTATCTATTAACTGTTGCATTCCAAAAAGTTAATACCCCAAGTCCCCAACTCAAGAGTTCGATCCCGTAACATTCCCTCAAAGAGAATCACATATGTCATCTGAGCACAAAGTATTTAGCTCCACTTTATATATACTTATTTGTTCTCAGGTATGGTTGTTATTCCAATTTATTAATAACTCTTAACTGTTATTAGGAGTTAATTAATTTGAAGAGATTGAGATTCAATTCTCCTTACTTATGATGAGGGCCGTTCCAATAAAAATTGGGGCCTGTGCAATATCATAATTTGGGTCCTTTTTTTTTTATAAGTAATTTCTATATATAAATAATAGTTACACTGTTCAAAAAGTTGTATCAACATATAAAAATTGCATAAAAAATACATCTAAAATTTTATTTAAAAAGTGACACGCGTCGTGCACATTTAGACGCAAAATCATCTACCAAACTTTTGATATCAACTTCTTCCAAAAGCTCATTTTCAATAGAGATTAAAGTTAATCCGTTGAGTCTCTCTTGCAACATACTTGATCGTAAGTAAGATTTCAACAATTTCAACTTCGAAAAACTTCTTTTTGCAGAGGCAACAGTAATTGGGATAGTCAATAATATTCGATATGCAATAGTAGCATTTGGAAAACAACCCATCTGTTTCAATGAATTCAATATACTCAGTGCACCTATCTTTTCTTTTGATAAAATCTCTCTAAGCAATTTTAGCTCCAAATACAATTCATTTCCATCAATATCACCATACTGATCATCTCTCTTAAAAGCTACTTCTAAACAAGTGCAACAAGACTTCAAATTGATATCAGTCGTCGATTGTAACTTGTTAGAACTAAACAAAAAAAAAAAAAACAAAAGTTCCTTCATATACTTCATATTGCTCAAACCTCTGGGTCAATGAAATAATAGCTTGATCTACAATGTATAAAAAATAATGAACCCTAAAAGATTCTTCGGGTAATAATGAAGTGTCATCAACACTCTCATCAAATTGTCTTTTTTTACGAATTTTTCGCTTTTGAGGAAACACTGACTCAATTTCTAATTCATTGGCAATTTCCTTTGCACTATCCATGGCACTATAAAAACCATTTTCTCTATAATTCTTGAAGAAAGAAACTAACCTTTTAATTTGATTAATAGCAACATCAAGAAGCATATCTTTTGTTTGTAATTGCTTGCTAACTAAATTAACCGCATATAAGATTTCAAGCCAAATGACTGTCGCTGGCAAAAATTCAAAGTTACTAAGCTCATTTGTAGCTAAAGATCTTGCCTCACTTTGAATTTTAGAATCACTATCTGTATCTGTCACTTGAAGTAGGGCTTCTCGAATATCACTGACTTAATATCTAATTGCTTTGACACTTTCCACGCGACTTTCCCATCGAGTAGATGACAATGGCTTAAGAGTTAGATTTATTATATTACTTTTCAAGATATGCCACCTCTTTGTGGAATTAGCAAATATTGTGTAAATACGTTGCACTACTCCAAAGAAATCTCTTGCTTTCCCACAACTGTTTGCAACGTCACATAAAGTCAAGTTAAGACTATGACTACCACAAGGAGTATAAAATGCTCTACGATTTACATCTAAGAGTCTTTGTTTACACCTTGAGATGCTCTACGATTTACCACAAGGAGTATAAAATGTCTTTAATTTCTTATACTCTGAACATGCTATTGCCTAATTGAGATTTGAGAATTTGTTAATTGAGATTTCGGATTAGGAAATTTAATTGCCGAATTGCAGTTTTGGTAATGTCCTTATAGTCTGACCTAATTGTCCTTATATATATAGATACCTTTTTTTTTTTTTTTTAGGTTTTTTAAAGCAATTTGGGCTCAATTTTCTTTTTATAAAATAAATACTATTATTATTACTATATATACCTATAATTTTATTTTTAAAATATGAGGCCCTCAAAAATTGGGGGACCCCGATTGCTCATGTTAAACATGCTCAGAACCGGTCCTGCTTATGACCTCCCACTAACTTGTGATTATTTTTCATTTTACCTTATTTTCAATCCTTAATCAACATAGATGGGCAGATAAAATTATCCTACATGTTTTATAGAAACTATTATTTTCATGTGATCCTAATTCTCTCTATATTTAAATAGTTGAGTTTATTAAAAGAAAAAAATCATCACCCTTTATATTTGGACAAATTAATATTTAAGAACTAAATATAAAAATAACAAGAAAAATCTATGGTGCCAATCAACATCTTTGCTCTTGCACTAGATACAACCCAAAAAGTTTAGCGAATTGTATAAATTGCAATAGGTACATTCGCCCTGTTTGGTAAAATGGTTGTTAGCTGATTCTGTTAATTAGAATGTATAAATAGTTGATAATATTAGCTGATTGTAGAAAAGTGTTTGGTAAATTAGCTATTAGCTGATAGCTGTTTGGTGTAATTTATTTTCTCAAAAAGCTAATTGAAAAAGTTGCTTGGAGTAGCCTTTTGGAGTTGCAAAAAGCTAATTAACCAAACATTTATATTGATATTTTAACTAAATCAAACAATTAATAGTGGTCAAATAAGCCAAAATTGGCCTATAAGCCAATTTTTTACCAAACAGGGCCATTGTGGGTGTTTTGAACATATAATCATTAATGTGCAATTCAACTATAAGCTTAGGCTTTTAATTGAGATGAAGCACATATTTTAATTTGATATCAAAATCAGACCAAAGGTCATGTTTGAATCTCAGAAGTAATATTCTAATAAAAATGAACTAAAAGTGGACTATCACAAATTAAAAATGGAATTAACTCTATTGTTAATAATATAGGAGAGGAGAATAAAAGAGTTGCAATATTTTTGGGTTGAATTCATTGCAGAAAAGCATACACAGCAGTGGAAATATAAACAAGGAGCCCAGAAGTGGCAAGAACAACCAAGACCGAGACAGAACGAACCGCAGATTTACTGCCACAAGACAACATCCCCAGCCTGATCTCTATCACATTCGCCATAGAAAGCATCAAGAACAAGCACCCCATCACAGACCCCGCCGCAGAAGCCATCATCCCAAGCCTCAAGACCTTGGAGTTGACGTGTGCCCTGAAGGCCTCATCGACATCTTTGCTGTTCAAAAGATTAATGGCGAGTTTGAGGCCCTGGGCCACCAGGGAAGAGAAAAGGAAGAAGCTAAAAGACACGACCTCAAAGACCAGAAGCTTCTTCACCACGTCGATGCCGGCGTCGCAGGCCGTCCTCTCCTCCAGGCTTCTCTGCCCGGGAACAGTGAGAGATAGGCCCACAAAGACGGCGACTGTGAAGAGCGAGTTCACGTTCACCAGCCCGTCCAGCGCCGTCACGTGGACGCTAGTGGTGGTTTCCGACCCAAACGACGGCGGCGGGGCCACCGAGGAGGAGGAGACTCTTCTGGGATAATATGTCTCAGATCTGTCAAAAGTAAATATGAGATTTATTTTTAATTTGTTGAAAAAGAGCAAATAAACAGATTGAAATTCAGATGAGAATGAAGAAAAGGGCAGTGGAGAATTATATTACTCTTCCATGATACCAAGTTGGATTCTTGATGGTGACCTCTGATCTCTCGTTGATGAGTTGAGCTGAGTTGAATTGGTACGTTATTTATGGTTGGAGATTATTGTTATTATGCTCCCATTTACCTGCATTTTAAAGGGAAAGGTTACTAGTTTAGGTATAGAAAATGGAAAACGTAGAGCACCAAGCCTTTTCAGCTTTTCGCTTTAAACTTTAGCTTTTTTTTGTGGGTTTAGGATTCTAATGAGAGGGAGTGAGGGATACGAAAACAACCCAATTTTTGCACCGTACTCTTATTTTTTATTCTCAATTTTTACACACACAAAATCTTGATATTTTATATTGTTTGGTTGGATGAAAAATATTTTCCTAAAAGTGAAGGAAAATGATGTGTTATGTTGTTTGAAAAATATTTTTCAATGGAAAAAGTTTTCCTTAAGGATGAGGAAAACCAATTCCTAGCTCATCCTAAGTATTTTATTTTCTATGGAAAAAGTTTTTCATAAAAAATTAATATGACAATTTTACCCTCACTATTCTTTATTAATTATTCTTATTTTTTTTGAAAGGAATTACTCTTATTATTATTATATTATTATTGTTGTGTAGGGTTATATTTGTCATTATACTCATTATTTCTTACCATTCCAAACTCAACCAAACAATGAAATTCATATTCCCAACAATTTATTTTCCACCAACCAAACAATGTAATCTATTTTCTTGAAGTTTATTTTTTTGTGAAAGTTCAATTTCATTTCCCTTCAAATATTTTCTAGCGAACCAAACGAGTTGACATTTATATCGGAGTTAATTACCAAAATGGTCCCTTGACTATAGCGAAATTACTAATTTGGTTCTTGACTATTTTTTTTAACTAATTAAGTCCCTCAACTTTAAAAATCTTAACTAATTTGGTCCTCCATTTGTTTGACCGTTAGTCAACCGTTAACTTGGTTGACTTAACCAAGTTAACAGTTGACTAACGGTCAAACAATCGGAGGACCAAATCGATTAAGATTTTTAAAGTTGAGGGACTTAATTGGTCAAAAAAATAATCAAGGACTAAATTGCTAATTTTGCTATAGTCAAGGACCATTTCGATAATTAACTCTTCATATTGTGACACATGAAAAAATTAGCCTATCAATATCTGCCAAATGAGGGAGTAAAAATGTAAGGAATAATATTTACAACTACATGTAGTCAAACTCTTTTTGCACTCATCCTTGGAATGGCAAGAGCAAGATTTAGATTTCTGAAATTTACTTGTTTTCCGTGGTATGTTAAAGAAAAAGAATCAAATTTTCAAGAAAATCTTCTAGTAAAAGTACATCTTTTTTTTTTCTCTCTCAATTATAAGATAATAACCAATTTATCTTATATGTTATATGCATCACTACTTCTAATGCTAACCTCATCCCCGAAAAAATGGAATTTGCAAAATGATGTGATTATATAAGTGAACAATAATTTTTTTTAATTTTTATTTTTATTTTTGTTGTTGTTGTTTATGTATATTCCACGCTTGCAAAGTATAAAAAAACAATCCCATGGAAACATATGGCAACCGCTTTTTGTACTTTTTTTTTTATTTTTTTTTGTTATTTTATTGTAATGTGATAGGGAAGTGTGACTGCTTTTTAAAATTAGAGAGTGTTGCAGGGATATGAAGATAATAATGAAGTAATGGCAAATTTGGTGATGTGGAGATAAAACTTAGGGAGTGTATTCAATCATGATTTTTGTAGATTTTTAAAGAATTTTAAATTGATAGATTTTAATAAATTTTTATTGACTTTCACAGAGTTGTTCATAACTTTTTAAAACTTTGTAAAACTCTATAAAAGTCTATATAAAAAACATTCATAAACTTTTATCAACTTTTTTATTTTAAAAGTCTACAAAAGTCATTGAAATTCTAAATTGAATACATCCTTACAAACTTTCAAAACATGTTATAATATATATCATAAAAACAAGAAGGTGCTCCTGTTTGCAACCCCAAATTGTTGTTGCGAATAGTAGTTCGCTATTCTGAGTAACATGTTGTTAATATATATATATATATATATATATATATATATATATATATATATATATATAGAGAGAGAGAGAGAGTAAAAGACATTTTTGGTCCTAGGTTTATAGTGGCTTGGACAATTTTAGTCCTTTATAAAAAAATTTACCATTTTTTAGACAGACTTATTGTAACGAGGACAATTTTGGTCCTCCGTCTAATATATGGTTAGTTGACCGTTTAAATGAGGGGTATTTGTGTCAATTCAACTTATTCTCCTCCAGATGAGATGAAAATATCTATATCAAATCCTAAATACTACATGCAGTAAGTTTCTAATCATTGCAACAGAATGAATATGAGTCGTTTAATCCCAGAGAAACAGAAAATAAACTAAGATAAAGCCTGAGCATTACTTCTCCATGAGGATATTATGCCGTGTCAGTCATAATACATCACAGAAGTTCTTTCGAAAACCAAATCAAGTTGGAAAGCTAAAACCTGCGTTTTGGACGTTGGTGGATAAGGTAAGGAATCAAGGGGTCAGTTTTCTCAAGATTTCTTCCCATAGAAAATATATTCTAAATCACGCATTTGATCAGGAAAATTACAATGACGTTTTGAAGTTTTTGGATGTAAAGTATGTAGAAGACGAGTGGTAGACGGCCCAGTGGTAGAAAGTGTTTGATTGGCTTTGCAGTAAGGCGGGTGTGGAGTCTCTAGATGTGTACAACTATGCAGTTATGATCCGAGACTCACTGATTCATGACCGGAAGCTTGTCCTTGCATATGCTCATTTCCTGTATCACCCATTTTTGTATGTCTGCAACACAAAATCGTTCGCTTGCTATTGACATGCCGCTTGTTGATGACTATGGGCGGATCGTCACTAAAAGGAACCGTGGAAGTAAATGGGTGCAGCTTCTTGGTTCATCAAATCCATGAAAATAAGAGGGTTACGTTGAGTTCGGCGGAGAATATTTGCATGCTCAAAATTATGCTGGTGTGTTTACCAAGAAAGAAGGGTTCCTTCAATTTCTTAAGGATGATGATGCTGGTGTTTTGGATATTCCCAATTTGCCTCTCTAGATGTTTCACTATCCAGTATGGCTTCCACACTAACCAGGGATAATGCATTCATGCTTTTAGGTTAGATCGATAAAATGAAAAAGAATGAGATTCCAGAGAGATTCTTGAAATGCATAAGGGAAGGAAGTTGGCTTAGAGTCCGTGTATGTGATAATGCTGGCTACAGGTTCCCATCACAATCCTTCTTACCTTCGTCGTCCTGGGGAGATCATTTGCAGAATAGATCTTTGCCTATTGATATTCCATTAGTTGATCAGGAGTTTTATGGTGATGAGATTTCTGGGGAGTATAAAGAAGCTCTGAGAAGCTGGTGTTATGTCTGAGCTAAAGGAAGCCAGTGAATTTATTGGGAAGCACTTTATGTCTCTTTAACTCAATTGACACAAATACCCTTCATTTAAACGGTCAACTAACCACATAATAGACGGGGACTAAAATTGTCCTCGTCACAATAAGTCTGTCCAAAAAATGGCAAATTTTTTTATAAAGGACTAAAATTGTCCAAGCCACTATAGGATTTTAGTCCTATAGTGATTAGATATAAGGGAGTATGCAAACGAGACAGAAAACTCTCCTGATGAGCTGGGGCCCCAGCCCGCCACGTCTTCTCTTTCGCCATCTAGTATGACAAAGGCCGCTAGTTTTTGCAAAGTTTGCATAGGTAGTACGTTTGTTAGCTCTTCCCACTTCCAACCTGTTTCATTGTCCCAGTATTCTGAGACTGGAGCATACAACACTGGTAGCGGTAGGTTTACTGTCACTAGATTGATCAAAGGTTGTTGCTCGATCCATGGCTCCATCCAAAATAGCGTGTTTCTGCCGTTTGCGACAATCTTTTTAAGACCTTTCTTGAGGGTAGGTGCTGCCTTAAGGACTCCTTTCCAAGCATTGGACATCCCTACCTTTGGTTGCCATGTGTTGGGATCAGGGCTGTGAACTCCATATTTTGCTCTTATTATTTGTGCCCATAGGCCTTCTTCTTCGTGGTGCAACCTCCATCCCAACTTTGCCATAAAGGCTAGATTCATAGTTTCCAAATTTTTGATGCCGAGCCCTCCATACTCTGTGTCCTTGGTGACAGTCTCCCAGGCTACGAGGTTAATCTTCCTTTCTCCATCCTTTCCTCCCCATAGGAAGGTTCTTGTTAGTTTCTCCACTTCTTTGAGGACTCCCAGAGGTAACATCGTCGATTGGAGCGCATAAATGGGTATCGCAGATAGGATGGACTGGGCGAGTATTCTCCGACCTGCCATGGAAAACGTTTTCATTTTCCATCCAGCTAGTCTGTTTTGGACCTTATTCACAAGCCCTTGGAACGAATCCTTTTTAATTCTGCCATGTAGAGAGGGGACTCCCAAGTATCTGCCTAGATCATCAGTTCTTGCAATATTGAGAATTCTTTCAATCGACTGCCTTTCGTTCGCAGGAGTGTTCTTCGAAAAATACATTAGGGATTTGTGGAAGTTTACTTTCTGACCTGAGCTTTCACAGAATAGGTCTAGGCAGTTCTTAATCACCTGCGCTTGTTGTGTTGTAGCCTCACCAAATAGTACCATATCATCTGCGAACATGAGATGTGAGATGCTAGGGCCACTTCTGGACACGCTTATTCCTTTCCAAGCTCCTTCTTCAACCTTTTCGTTAATAAGGTGACTTAGGCGTTCAATGCAGAGCACAAACAGTAGCGGTGATATGGGATCCCCTTGGCGGATTCCCCTCGTAGGCTTGAACCATTGTGACCTTTGTCCATTTAGGGTGACAGATAATCTTGTCGAGGCGATACATCCCATAATATTCCTAGTCCAGATCTCGTTGAAGCCTGCAGCCCTGAGAGTGTTCTTCACAAAGCTCCATGACAGCCTATCATAGGCTTTCTCAAAGTCGATTTTGAGGATCATCAGACCTGTTCTTCCTTTTTTGTGGTTCGCTGTGTTCAACACTTCTTGGTAGGCAATAATATTGTCTACTATTTGTCTGTCGGGTACGAAACTTGACTGGTTCAAGCCAATCAGCCTCTGGATGGCTGCTTTCAGTCTTGAAGTGAGTGTTTTAGAGATTACCTTGTAGGATACATTGCAAAGGCCTATTGGGCGTAGCTGTTTCGCATTCTCGGGGCTTTGTGTTTTCGGTATAAGTGTTATGACAGTGTCATTACAACCTTCGGTAAGACTCCTAGTATCAAGGTAATTCAACACGAAAGATGTCAGTTTTTCCCCCACAATCGCCCAGTTGTGCTGATAGAAACCGGCATGGTATCCATCCGGCCCTGGAGCTTTGAAGGGGGCCATGTCGAAGCAAGCTTGTTTCACCTCAAGGGCTGTAAAAGGGGCGTTGACAGCGTCCCATTCGTCGTCAAGTAGAACTGGGAAGGCGTTTTTCCATTCAGGTTGCTTTCGGATGGTCGCGTCCTCAGTGTATAGCTCCGAAAGGAAGTCTGTGATGTGGCTAGTAAGGCACAACAAAATTATGTCCAATGAGAATAGAGCCAAGAGAGGATTTACAGAGAATACCAGCTGTGATCTATGCCATGACCAAGTGGAATCAACGGAACACATCCTCCGCAACTGCCCGATGGCTAGACAACTATGGGAGAACTTGCTACCCAACACAAGTAGACCACACCACGGCTCAAACTTCTTGGACTGGCTGGATGCAGGCTTGGAAGGCTGGTACTGCAAGAGACGTAGCCAGAGCAACAAAATCACATTCGCAGTCGCCCTATGGTGGATTTGGAGATGGAGGAACGATAGGATTTTCAATGAGGAGAACCCAAGTTTGAATCAGAAAATATATTGGATTCACATGCAATGCAAGGAAATAAATGATGCCTTCAACAAAGCAAGCACATTGGGTACAGGATCATCAATTCGCAACTGGAAACTTATCAAATGGAAGAAGCCTCCGCAAGGTTGGTCAAAAGTTAATACCGACGCTTCCCTGAGCCCAACGGCTATGCATGCAAAATGCGGTGGAGTTATCAGAAATGAGCATGGCAATTGGATTAAAGGTTTTTCTTACTCAGTTGGAGCCTGCTCAATCGACGCTGCGGAAGCCTGGGCACTCCTCAAAGGTATCCAACTAGCTATCTCTCTAAATCTAGAGAAAGTATGCTTCGAAAGTGACTCTCTAAGAATAGTCAAGGCAATGAATAGCAACGGGACGGTGGACAACGTCGCAAGGAATATTATTCATGCATGCAATCGGGAACTCTTAAATATTGCAAATTGGATAATTTCATACATTCCCAGGGAGCAGAACCGGGTGGCAGACGGCCTAGCCAAGCTTCATGATATATCAAGTGGTTTTAAAATCCATGACACAGAACCGGAGAGCTTGATGCACCTCACAGAAGAAGACAGATTTGGCCTTCCTGTTTGGAAACAAATAGATAGTCCCACCATGTAATTTTTTTTCTTGGGTATCCCCCTTCCTTACTTTCAAAAAAAAAAAAAAATTGTCCAAGCCACTATAAGTCTAGGACCAAAAATGTCTTTTACTCTCTCTCTCTATATATATATATATATATATATATATATAGAGGGTTGCATTCAAATACAAACCCCCCCTTAAAATACAAACTTGAGCTCGTGCACACATTAACATACTTACATGCACACAGTGCGCACTGTCAACCATTTCTGGGATTAGCTCGTGCACACATTAAAATACTTACATGCTCACAGCGCGTAGGAGGAAAAATCACAACCATCCATCAAAGCTCGTGCACACATTAACATACTTACATGCACACAACGCGTAAGAGGGAAAAATCACAACCATCCATCAAAGCTCGTGCACACATTAACATACATACATGCACACTGGACACACTGCCAACAATATTTGGGATTAGTTCGTGCACACATTAACATACTTACATGCACACAGTTTGTATTTTATATTTTAAGGGGGGTTTGTATTTGAAAATAATCCTATATATATATATATATATATATATATATATATATATATATATATATATATATATATATATATATATATAATGAATATAAACAAAAAAATTAAAATATATAAGTATTTATATAAATATTATGAAACATATAGTAAAATTTGACAGTGATAGATGAAAATTTGCTTTATTCATGTATTTAGGGAAAATTAGAGAAAGTTTAAAAGTTATGAGAAAAGTTCGTAGAGAAATTTTAGAAGTTAGGGATACGAAGTTCGTAAAAAATATATATAAAATCAAAATAAACAAGCAATAATGAAGTAAAAATAATATTATTTCAAATGTTTAAAGGAAGATTGTAAAGTTTAGGAGAGAGAAAAAATTGGTAGAGTTTAGGTATGAAGAAAATATAGGATAATGAAGAAAAAAATAATTTATTGTATTTAGGTATAAAATTTATAATATTTTTTTTAAAAAAAGGTATAAGGTTTATAAAGTTTAAATAGGGAAAAAAATAGAATTTAAATAGAGAGAGAAAACATTTAGAGTTGGTATAACGAAAACTTTGAAATCCTAGGGCTGATGGTTGGATTTCAACTATTTATATTTGATAAGGAAAAGTCTACAAAAGTCTTAAAATTAAAAAGTCTACAAAAATTCATAACTTTTTGAATATCGTATGATTTTTAAAGGTTCTTTAAAAGTATTAATCGAATACCACCTAACTTTTAAAGACTCCCTAAAAGTTTATATTGAATACCTCCAAACATTCCAAGTTTATAAAAGTCTACGAAAGTCATGATTGAATACACTCCCCTTACTTTTGAAAGTGAGTGAATATTTCAGCAATAATATTAGCCTAAATTCTACTTCTCAAATTGTTAGCGCAATAAGGACGAGATGGGCGGCAGATAGTCTGCCTAATATGTACAAATATAAAAGTGCATTAGTAATTATTACATTGTATAAATGATTTATAACCTTTCAAAAAAAAATGATTTATAATTTTTTAAAAACTTTAAATTAATACTATTAAATTAATAAAATAACTAGAACTTTGTTATAAAAAAAAAAAAAAAAAAATAGAACACAAATTCTGAATCCTTAAATTCAACAGCTTTCTTTTCCATTTTCGTCTGCTCCCACGAAGTAAAAGCCCAGTAATTTGGTGCTGTCGGTTGACACTCTGATGGAGGGTTAAGCCGGCGATGCCTTAGTAGACTCTATTCTCTGCCTGTTTTAGGAATAAGTGTTAGATCTCAGATCATCTCCGATCGTTTTTCAGAGAAGGCTTCAGAGACTCTACATATCTAACAGGTTTTCAACCTTCTTTTCCATTTATTTTGTTTTCTTTTGGTTCTACGTTATCCCTTTGTTCCTTTGACTACTTTGTTTTCTATCGTCTCTCTGACGAGTGTTTCCCTCTCGTCTCTTTGGCGAGTTTTCCTCTCGTTTCTTGGGCGAGTTCTCCTCATAAACGTGAAATGATAAAATGGCCACACCAGAGTCAAGCTTGATTATGTTTGACCAGATCTGTGAAGAAGCACCGAGTTCATCTAACAACTTCGGCTTCAAATTTGTAAAACAGTCTGTGATCCAAGTTTTCTATAACATTGCTAGGAAATTTGTTTCTATGTCTGACTGTAAAGAATGCATTACCATTCTAACGATTTGTATTGTAAACATTTCTGCTTATGATTAATGAATTAGCCTTTTATTTAAAAACAAAAAACAAAAACAAAAACAAAAACAAAAACAAAAAAAAAAACAAAAAAAAAAAAAAAAAAACTAGAACTTTGTTTAAAACAATTACAACACGTTTGGTTCACGGAATGAATTTTGAGGTAATACGAATGCTATTCCATAAAGAATGAAATATGCAAGGAATAGAATAGGAATTGTATTCTATTGTTTGGTTTGCGGAAGGAATAGACTTTAAGAATTATATTACAGTGTTTGGTTGATTTAAGGAATAGAAATGAAATATATTTTAAAAGACATAAATACCCTTATAAAAATATGTGATGGTGGTGGCGGCGGTGACGGTGGTGGCGGTGATAGTGGTGCTGGTGGCGGCGACGATGATGGTGATGGTGGTGGCGGCGGCGGAATAAGAAATAAATTTAATTGGGGGTAAAATAGGAAATAAAAACTTTAACCTACTTGTACTACCATGCTATCAAGTATCAAGTATTCTACTTTAATTTTGTTGTAGTTGAGATTTGAACCCTGCTCATTTTACTACCATGCTATCAAGTATCAAGTATTCTACTTTAATTTTTTTGTAGTTGAGATTTGAACCCTGCTCCTTTTACTTCAAGCTTTGCTATCAAGTCTTCTACCTACTTCTACATGAATATTGCTACTTCATAAAATAAATTTCATCTTCCCTCTTGATTAAATGCTTGGATCAACTCTACTTCTTCAAAAAATTTTCTCGGAGACACTAATACATTTATACAACAAAATTTTGGGATTTCTAATAATTAAAAAAAAAAAAAAAACACTTCGACTCATCAAAATACAATTATTCCTTACAATGTGAGATCGTATCATGACTCTGTAATATGCCATAAACGATAAGATTGTGCCGTCAACATCCACACGCCATTGATTCGCGGCGGTGTTAATATAATGAGCGCTGAAAATGAGCACAAACTCCAGCTGCTTAATTTCTCTCAACAACGTAACATTCTTCCAATAACACTCATAATACAAACACTCTATAGTATATGTCTAATCCATTACAAAATGAACATATATGTGAGTTTCTTCCTTATTTTACTTTCACTATTAATCACACTGTAATCCTATAGTTTATGGTATAACAATAATATATTCATACTGATTTCTCTTTGTGAGCTGAGGCAACACTGAATTTCTTCAGAGTCTGCTTTTTTTCCCAACAATTTCTGCAATCACCTGTCCTACTTCTTCCCCGCTATCTTCTTGAACATGATGACCGGCCTGCACAAACAACCAACAAATTAGTCTATCGGGCGTTTGGCAATTAGCTGTTAGCTGATAGTTGATAGCTGATTGTGTTAGCTGGTTTGACCAGACGATAGTATTAGCTGATAGTTTCTGTGACAGTATATATCAGTATAATACCATGGGAAGCTCGACTAGTCGGAGCTTTGATTCTTTGCAGAAATCTTCTACACCGTCGAAACTTAGCCAGCGGTCTCTTTGTCCCCAACATACCGTTGTTTGAACTTCCCAATTTTTGCCCGTGAGTATCCCTCGTGCTTCCTCAATGTACCCCTAAATGTTAGAGGGGATTGGTATATATTAGTCCATGAAAGGAGACTTAGAATTTGCGTGCTAGTTGAGCGTTCAACAACCGAGTCTAGTGATTTATGATTATGAATGAAAATGGTAAGAAACAAAGAACCAATGCCATAAAGTCTGTGGCATATGGAGCTAGTTTTAATTTCTAAGCCAACTAAGACGAGTTGAATAAACAAAAGAAAGCAACAAGTGGAAAGAAATGAAGGTTCAGAGCCTCAGTAGAGGCGGTATTGACTCTTTGTGCTTCAGTAGTTGAGAAAGTAGTTATGAACAAATACTGCATTGTAACAGAGAAAATAGTATTCAAAAAAAAAAAAATGAAGGTAAGAATTGCACCTTAAGTTGCTTCTTCATTGCCCTACTTAGTGCGTTCAACGCAAATCCTGATGATCCCGATGTAAGATATGGTCTCCTATATACCATGGCTACCTCTTCTTTCATTTGGTAAGGACCACAGCTCAACAATGCCTTGTCACTCGCCCTTAGTGGATCCTTCACGAGCAAAATTAAACGAAGTGTCGGGCTAAAAAGTTAAAAATTTTGTGAAGGCCGGGATGAAAGTTAAGGTTATCCTACCTGAGAAAAGATTTCCCCAAGCAAGAAATTGCTGAATATGGATAAGGTTGAAGGCAGGTTTGCATGCTTGACTGTCAACTACAGTGAGCAAAGAAAACAATGTTTTTGGAAGAGCCAAAAAAAACAAAAAGAATATGCTATTCTGTGTACATGATTGTTGGGCGGAGGCCAGTAAAGGGCTTAAAAGGCTAAGTCCAGCACCCAGTGTCTCGAAAATATGTAGCAATATAAGGAAATAAAGTTGCAATAAGCGCTTAATTTAACAAGCGGTATCAGAGCCATAATGATATAGTATTGAAACATGAAATGTGCATTTGCATATTTAATTTCCTCTAGTTTCTTGGAATAAGGTGTTTAAACTACTATAAGCTTGACCCCAGAAGAACCATATAACGAGACCAGATGAAAGCACATACAAAAAAATCATCATACATATGACAGAATTCAGTGACATTATGTGTCAATTATTTGACCACAAACAGAAGAGGGAATCTAAACGGCATCATAGTAAAGAGTGAAGGGTAAAAAACATAAACCATAACAACACAGTGAGAAATCCCTACCGGAGGATTGAGAAGTATGACACTGTTCACCTTATCCTGATGAGTGCTGGCGTATTTGATAACAATAGGCGAAAAATATCCCTGCAAAAGAGCAGTATAATTAGACGATACTTGATCACTTCAGTTCGATCATACAAGGTTAGAACTTGCGATAAATGCAAGCACATCGCGTTCGGGACAAGGATAACTACCTGGACTACAAGGGTAACCTTTTTGTTAGTCAGTGTGTTAATTACAGATTCCAAGGATGATACATATTCTGCAACCAAGATGTCAGAGTGGTGAAAATCTGAAGATAAATTTTTACTATTTTTATTTCCGTTTTCCTTTTAGTTTAAGTATAATACTAAACACTCTTGTTTCTATATCTTGCATCTTTTATTAATAAGCATCATACCATCCAATGTGTAGTCAAATCCATATTTTGGCTGGGGCTTATCTGAAAATCCAAATCCTGCATAAAAGGGAGAAAGCTAGAGTTTAGTATTTTTTTTCCTTTTTGTACTATTGACTCTATTACAAGGTAATATATGTTCTATACTTTCTCTATCTGTTGCAGACCAAAGAATCGGGGTTCGATCATGTGACCTTCCCTCAAGAAGAGCCACAGAGGTGCCATCTGAGCACAACTGCACAAGGTGCTTGGCAACTAGAGAATTTAGTTAATTACTGGCCCTGTTTGGTAAAATAGTTAGCTTTTCAACCAATTTTGATTTATTTGACCACTATTAATTGTTTGACTTGGTTAAAAAATCAATATAAGTGTTTGGTTAATTAGCTTTTTGTAACTGCAAAATGCTAAAATTCAAAAAGCTGCTCAAAGCAACTTTTTCAATTAACTTTTTGAGAAAAGAAATTATACCAAACAACTATCAGATAACATCTAATTTACCAAACACCTTTCTACAATCAGCTAATGTTATCAACTAGTTACACCCTCTAATTAACCTAATCAGCTAAAATGAGCATTGATAAAAGTAGGCTAGAAAATTCAAATCTGGCCTGGATATATTCACTTATTCAGTATGTTTAAAAAATGATAATTTCTAATAAAACAACAAATAGGAGCTTACCTAGCCAATCAAATGCAATGACATGGTGGCTCTTTGAAAGTATGGGGAGAACTTTGCGATAAGAATATGCCTGGAACACCAATGTTAAGTTTAAAGCTTCAAGCTTAATTATATTAGATGTTTCTCTATAAGAATACAAAAATTTGTGCCAATTCGATTAATTCAACATGGCCTAACCTGCGAGGGAAACCCATGGATTAATACAATGCAAGAATCGTAAGCAGTTCCAGTTTCAACGCAAAACCATCTATATATTGCACAAAATCATATACAGAGAGCATTCAATTGGTAATCCCTGCAAACAATACATCCTCAATTTCTGCATAACAACAATTTCTTATTCCCTTGAATGTTAGTTAAAACCACATTCTAGCTAACCTTTCAGTGACTAAAATTTCTGCAAAAATGCAACCACAATTACCTGAAAAGATCAGATGATGACTGTGAACCAGCTCCCATTGTAAGACCAAAAATCGGGTCTTTTGCCTTCTCACCACTTCCATTGACTAGATGAGCTTTTACCTAAAATGCCAAGAGATTTCCAACAACTTTCAAATGTAAGATCAATAAAATCCTAATTACATGAAAAGCATTGGTAGAAGGCTTACAATTCTCCCCTGCTTGAACCATTCATCTGCGGGACTGGGCTCGTCTGAATACTTTCCTATATCAAAGCAGAAAACACTTGGGTTTCAACAACTGAATCCATAATTATAAGTGTTAGGATCAAGTGCTTACCATTACCCAAAAACTATAGCTAGTAGCGAAGCGCAAGTTTATTTCAACCGCCATCACATTTTCGAAAGGTAGGGTGTGGGCATGGCCCTTCACCGGCCTCTGCCCAACAACCCCTTAGCCACCAATTGATGCACTTAGCCGGGCTTCTGCCTAACAATTTCCCTCCCAATAACACTTGCTAGGATAAGTGCTTACCACTACACCAAAAGCTATATCTAGCAGCGAAAGCGCAACTTTATTTCAACCGCCATCACATTTTCGAAAGGCAGGGTGTGGACATGGCCCTCACTGGCCTCTGCCCAACAATCCCCTAGCCACCAATTGATGCACTTGGCCGGGCTTCTGCCTAACAATTTCCCTCCCAATACCACTTGCTAGGATAAGTGCTTACCACTACACCAAAAGCTATATCTAGTAGCGAAAGCACAACTTTATTTTACCGTCATCACATTTTCGAGAGGAGGCAGGGTGCTGGACTTGGCCCTTCACCGGGCCTTCGCCCAACAATACCTTAGCCACCAATTGATGCCCTTGGTTGGACCTCTGCCCAAACAATTCCCCTCTCAATACCACTTGTTAGGATCAAGTGCTTACTACTGCACCAAAACTATAGCTAGTAGCAAGTGCTGAACTTGGCCTTCATTGACCTCTGCCCAACAATTCCCTAATTATCAATTGATGGACTTCGCCCTTTACTAGCCACCACCCAACAAAAAGAGTAAAATTTCTTGAAATTTCAAGAGGAAAAATATCAAGTAAAAAGAAAAAAAAAAAATACAACCTCCACTGAAAGAAAACCCATCACCAACAGAAACGGGAGCATCCAAAAAATAATCCTGAAAATCCAACATAGAAGAACAATAAAATATCCATGAAAAATAAAAATGAAAGAAAAACTTCAGGAAGATCGAAAGAAGTATTACTATACCTCGTTGCCATCGCTACTTGATCGGCAAAGGAACCGGGAAAGTTTCAAACTTTGGTAGTTTCGAGAGGTTCGCTTGAGAGAGAATTGGTGAGGGGGAAACTGGGAAGCAATGGTACAGAGAGAGTGGCACTGGGAGTGAAGGGAGGAGAAGGAGGTATGAATGGCGGCCATGGATATGAAAAGGCCTCCTGGCGCCGGAGGGAAAAACAATCCGTTTGGGTGTTGGTTGGATTTAGTTAAAGAACGGACATTTGGGATTCGATCAAAAAAACGTTAAAGTGGAAAATGGGGATAGGGTGTCTCTGGTTCTCATCTATCACATATTTTGAAGCACACATGCTATGGGAAGTTCAGCAATTGTGTGTTGTGATTTATGAATTTAGTTTATAGCGTTTTTCTACCTTACCAAATATAAATAGATCAGTTGTTATCCCGTGGAACTTTGTCCACCTTGCAAGTGGACACGGTTCTATATTCATAATTATTGAATTTTATATTCATAATTATAAAATTTTATGTTCATAATTTTTGAACTTCATATTCACAATTATTGAACTCTATATTCACAATTACAGAACTATATATTCATAATTATAAAACTCTATATTCATAATTTTTGAACTCTTTTCTTTAAAAAAAAATAAAAAATTGAACTCTATATTAACAATTGTGACAATTTTGCAAGATGGACATAGTTCCACAGCATAATTTGCCTAAATAGATAATATCGGTTGTAATTAAATATAATATAATGGGTTATACACTTATACTAAATATTGTTAACACCAAATATAATTGTATTCGGTATCACTAAATATGATATAAGAGGATTGTGAAGTAGAATTGTCAAAATAGGCTTTGCTCGTCGGATCGGCCTGTTCTGCTCTCTACTTAGGGAGTTTTAAAAATAGAGGCTCGTTAAAGATTGGTTGTTTTTTTTTTTTTTTTTTTTTTTTTTTTTTTTGCCTGCCACGCCTAGGCTTGCGGGCTTGGTGACCAAAGCCATTTATTTTATACTCTCTCCATCATATTTTATGTGTCTGATTCGACTAACAAATAAGAAAGAGTTAGTTTTACTAATAAATAAGGCAAATTATACCATGGACCAGGGTCTACCTTGCATTGTAGAACCTGGTCCAAAAATAACATTCAGATTCTGTATCTATAGTTGACACATTTTGTATCTGTAGTTGATAGTTTATGTACATGTAGCTATCATATTATGTGTCAGCAATTATCAAGTCAGATTATGTATCTATATTTGACACATTCTGTACCTGCAGTTGATAATTTTTGTACCTGTAACTATCATATTATGTGTTAACAATTATCAAATTATTTGTTTACATGTATAAAAACGGTTAACCGTATGTATAAAATGTGTTAACTGAATGTACAAAATTTTTTTATATCAAGATTTACAATGCAATATGGACTATACTCCATGATATAACAATTGAATGAATAAATATGGTAATAACTTTGGATGAAAGTTGTAACAATCGTTATGCGTTGGACCCGTGTCCAGCATGCTTGCTGGACACGGGTAAAAGTGCCATTAGGCACTGTTATCTCCTTCTTCTTTTTTTTCTTTTTTTTTTTTTTTTAAATTTCAGACCGCTTCGTTATAGGAGTATATGTTCATAATTTTATTACTATATTATTAATAACTGTACATTCATAACTCCATAACCGTACGTTCATAACTCTATAACTGTACATTCATAACTCCATAACTGTACATTCATAACTCCATAACTGTACATTCATAACTCTATAACTGTACATTCATAACTCCATAACTGTACATTCATAACTCCATAACTGTACATTCATAATTTTCGAAGCTCTATGTTCACAATTTTAGAGCTCTATGTTCATAATTTTATCACTATATGTTCATAATTGTAAGTTCATAATGTTAGATCTTTTTGTTCATAATTCGATCAATAACTGTACATTCATAATTCCATAACTGTAGATTCATAATCTCATAACTGTAGATTCATAACTCCATAACTGTAGATTCATAACTCCATAACTGTACATTCATAATCTTCGAAGCTCTATATTCACAATTTTAAAGCTCCATGATTATAATTTTATCACTATATATGTTCATAATTGTAAGTTTATAATGTTAGAGCTCTGTGCTCATAATTGCATAATTGTACATTCATAACGGCATAACTGTACATTCATAACGGCATAACTGTACATTCATAATCCAAAAAAAAACAACGCCGTTAACGGCAAAACACGCGCGATTTTTTTTTTTTTTTAATAACTAAATGACGCGTTTTTTTTTTTGAAAAACGACGTTGTTTTGGGCCCGTGTCCACAATTCATTGTGGACACGGGTCTAGGGCATAATTTGCCAAGTTGTAACAGCTTGTCTTGAAATCTATGACAACCTAACGGACTAATTAATTTCTTTCAATTAATGAGCCCAATTAAGTACTTATCAACATTATTATCAAATGGATGAGAGTATCTCAACTTGTAATACACGTAATGACCTACATGCTATAATGAAAGAGTGATATGATTTGTGACCAAAGTTTGTTAGAATGACTTAATAGGAAAAAGATTGAAATGTAAAGATAGAATTACTTATTAGTGAATGTCTATTTTTGTAGACAAAAATATGAAAAACGAGTTTGGGACTTGTGTTTGATGTCAGAAGTGGTCAAACAAAAAAAGCAAGTCCCACTTGCATTTAAAAAAAAAAAAAATTTGGTCACCCGCCGGCGACACCCTTCTCCAGCGAAGGAGAAGGATCGCTGGAGAACCCAAATCGCTGGCTTCTCCGGCGAAGGAGAAGGCAACCAGTGGCGATGTCCTTCTCCTTCACTGGAGAAGGGTGTCGCCGGCGAAGTTTTAGACCAATTTTTTTTTTTTTTTTTTTTTTTTAAAAAACACAAACTTTTGATTTGATCACGCTTCTGACATCAAAGGCAAAGTCCCAAACTCGTTTTTCATATTTTATCCATAAAAATGGACATTCACATTTTGAAAAATACGTAATTCTATCTTCACATTGGTGTCTTTTTCCCATGACTTAATATCCCCAGCTTATTGGGTAAATTCCAATAAACACAGAGACTCTTGAATGCAAAGCATATATATTTGAAGCAATATATATAATATCCAGTAGTACGTTTCTCATCATGTTTACATGCAGAATTGAAATACACAGATCGAGTTGAAACGAATCTACTTAACAAAGTAAGGGAGGTCGAGGACGTAGAGGAGGAAGTAAGCCCAGATGACGCCGGAAATTCCGCCAAAGAAAAACCCGCCGGTGAATTTGCCCCATCCATCCGCCGTCTGCAGCGGGTCAGGGACCTTCTTCCTCCCGGTCAACGTCAACCCCGGCGCCGTCGAGGGGTCGCCCTCCTTGAAGGATGCGATACCGTACATGGTCAAGCATATGCTGAGGATCACAACCAGCCCTCCGGCGGCCAAGGACCCTGCACTCCCGGCGTAAACCGTGTTTCTCAGTGGGCCCGCCTTCACGAATGGGCCCACCAGGAGGAATCCGTGGGCCAGCCCTACTTCAATACCCCGGAGAAGTGGGTTCACGGCGGTCCTGTACGCCGGCAAGTTGGAGAGGTACCAGGCGATGAGTGGGCTTGAGGTTACGGGCGTTTCCAGACTTCCGATGAATGGGTCTCCGTTCAGCGGCTGAATCACTTGAAAAGTTGGCTGCACACAAATTCAACAATTAATTTTTTTGTTCATCTAATCAAGAATATCACTATTGTAAATTTATAAGGTTGTATGTTAATTACCTTCTCACTCTGGACAGCCTTGACAGTGAAGCAAGAAGGCCTTCTTGAAGGCAAAACTTTGAAGGGGGCTCCAGAAATGCCCTTAGGAACCCCAAACCCTCTGGTCATCAAAGAAGCAGCTTTGAGCTGACTGGCCATGGTGGAAGCAACTGTTGCCATTCTGGGAATCAATTTTAATTTGGATTTTGATCAGATAATAGAGGGGATATAACACAGCCACTGCAAGAAAAGGGTATCTGTTAACTTATGATGACTGGGCAACTGAATCTCTCATGCTCAGAAATGCGTGGTTCTCAGGGGTGATGTCTCGTACGTGTGGCGTTTTCATTGGACTTCATATCTTATCTCTTATCCACTATGGATCACAAACAAAAATGTTTTTCAAATCTAATAAAGTGATATACGGAGTATTCCGCTCCGCAGGTGAAAACAGATCTACCTTAAAATATAAAAACTATAGCGGTAAGTTTATTTAACATATATACAAATAAGAAAATGTTATGTTCCCCTCCAAATTTTTCCCCTAATATTTCTTCACATGATATTACGATTTATAATTATTGAATGTTTATGAATTAGGTGATCTTATCATTAATTAAAGGGGAAATTATCATTTTGGTCTCTCAATCGTTTTCTAATCGTCAATGTAGTTTGTAGTTTTTAATTTCAACTAATTTGATTATCAAATTGTTTTAAAATTTTTTAATTAAACCTTTCGAGAATTAAATTGACGAAATTTTTAAAATGAAAAATCACCATTTTGATCTTTTGGAAGGATTTAATTGACAAAATTTTAAATAATTCGAGGATCAAATTAGTTGAAATTAAAAATTATGAACTACATTAACAGTTGGAAAACAATTGAGGTACAAAAATAGTGATTTTTCCTTGAAAGTTATTTATCCAATTCAAAATGCCATGCAAGGACGGAAAGATTGGAAGGAAAAGTTTTAGAATAGTTAGTAGCCTTAGAAAAGTTATAGATATAATAATCGATGAAAATTATGAACCTACTTTTAAGAAATATATCGATCTTCATCCATATATTTTAACTTTAGTAAATAAAAAAAATGTGACTTTTTTTATTATATAAATCAATCAAAAGATTGTAGTGTTGATAGGGCATTTGGTTTAACATTAGTATTAACAAGATAATGTTGTATTAACCCGCATGGGCAGCTCAACTGGTCACAGAGGTGAAACTTTGGTAGAATGACCCGAGATTGAATCTCTCCAGCGACAGTGATGGGGGGAAAAGTGTTTATACATGTTGTGTTATATAATAATAATAATAATAATTTCCTTATTATATTTAAAATTAATGATAAATTCCCAAAAAATAACATTCATAGCAAAGTAAATTGACTAAATTGAGATGTTAATTAGCACTATTTAAGACATTAAAAAAAAAAAGTAAAATCATTTCTATATATTTATATTCTCCATCACAGTCTTCCCATATGCGTAATGATTCCATGATGAATTATCCCTACTAAATAACCACCTATATTACAAGCTAGGATAATACGAAAATAATGTCTATATAGAAGGCAAGAAAAAAGCCTCGTGAGTGGGGAATAGAGTGGTGAATATGGGAAGAGAATTAGTTCGAGTTACATACCTAGCAACCATGCATAATCACCCTAGCTAGCTCCTGTATATATCAGCTAGGCTTAAGTTGAATATCCACAATCTGTGATATGTATCATCTTCTATATACATATGGTAGGATTATTGGTCTCACGTCACTAATACAGCATTGCTTTTACTATCCTTCTGCCCATGGATTTTTTCTTCAAAGCCAACAACAAAATCTTCCATGCATGATCTATATGTTTGCATCCCCGGAACCGTCCTAGCCAACTCCAACCCCATACCCATCCACTTCTTGGCTGTATCTATATGCCCCAGCCTGACCGGTACAGCTGCACGGTTCCATGCTGTCATAGACAGCCATTTTGCTTCTTCAACTGGATATTCCCCCTCCTTCAGTCCCACCATAATCCTGTATGCTTGCTTATACGTTTCCATTATGGCGTCATCACAGGTATCGCCTTTAAGGATGGTTCCCGAAGAGATTAGTTTTCTGAGGATGAGTGCCACTTTGGAGTAATCGGGGAAGGGAGAAGCCAGGAGGTTAGAGAGGCATGTGTTTAATGCAAATGCAGCTACTTCATGATTGGATTGTGCCCCTTGTGAGGCCTCGAGGCCTATCTGGAGAAGATGATCTATATTGCAGCTTTTTGAGTTTGCAAACTGTTTTATTAGGACAAGCTGTTGTGGCCCCATTCCACTGAGCCTCCCATAGAGATCATAAGCACTCCAAATGTATGTAAAGAATAAGCTGGGTGCAATACTGGCTAGTAGATTGTCATTTTCACCTGAGCCACTTGTGCTCGACGACAATATCTGCATTCAAGCATGAGTAACTTCAGATCAAAGTATAAAAGTACACAGTAAGGACTGAAGGAATTTATTTGTCAAACAAAGCTATAAGGGTTGGGAAGTTAGTTACTCAATGGGTAATTTACCTTCTGCACTCTATCAAGCAATGCAATGGCCTGTTTGACTTCAGTTTCCGTTAGTGTACCGTTTCTTTGCTTCTCATCAGCAATAATGGCAGATGCAGCCAATATCAATGATTGGCAAACCATTTCGTTGTTCCCTTCTGTTTCTTCATCAGTCACAGCACTATAAAATTCTGATGCTAATCTAAAGAACTCTGCACATAAATCATATTTTTTCTCCTTCCCAGTTCTTACCCCAGAATTCCAAGCATTTACCGAAAACCAATTTCGTTCTCGTTTTCCAACCTCACCTTTCCCAAAAAAAGCTTTTGGCCCAAGTTCAGACATTCTAGCATGAGCTCGTTTCATCTGTTTAAGGATATCAGAGTCATTGATGTGATCTTGAGATAGAACCGTGACTAAGGTCCGGAAAATTATGACCTCAGTAGTTGGCATTGGTTTCCCTGCAGAATAGAGGTCTAAGATGTGTGACAGAGAAGCAACAGCCACTGGAAGAGAATGGCAAGCAATAGCCTCATGAGCTGAGAGCAAGAGAAAGTCTGTGGTGAAATCTAGGCAACTTGACATTGTTTGGACCTGGGTAGTAGCAGCACTGTCGTTTTTCTTCTGTAGGTAGACCTTAAACTGCAACATTCAGCATAAGTGTAAACATCCTTACAAATTTTCAACCAGGCAATCCTTTATTCAAGTAATTTCCAGGGATGTGTGGGTGTTTCTGGGCAAGTGAGAGGAGAGAGAAATATCACCTTCAGGAAGGCACTAGCTATATTTGGTTCAAGCTGCAAAAGTGTAAAGTATTAGATCAAAGTTGAAGAGAGCAAAAAGGTTTGCTTTAGTCATTTTTAAATATACCTTTTCAGCCTCATTAATGTATTCTTCAGCTCTATCTAGCTGTGCGAGGCCTAGATGACAGAGACACAAAACTCTATAGCCCTTTGCCCTGAGAGTTCTATTCTCTATGTCATAAGGAACATAAAGCATAGATTTTTCAAATATCTCTGCACTGGTCTGGAAATCTTTCGAACGGAAATGTTCTGCAGCACTGCAGAATCAATAATTTAAACAATTAAAACTGTTGAATCTAAAATGTCTCATAATTCTAGTAATATTGTTAGGGTATTTCACTAGTTATGTAAGCAAAAAAGACTCTTACAAACTAGTCAGCATCTCTACCAATGGGACCTCATATTATTATGCATTAGTAAAAGATATGAAAGGAATATGCTCGTGATCCAATCAATACACTGATTGGAATAGCCTATTACCATGTTTCCCATCAAAAGACAAAGCAGTGCTGAAAATTTACCTTATTCACATAATCCTGGAAGCACTGATGCTGTGATGCAAAGATTGAAGAAAAGTGGTTCTTTTTATCTTCACTATGCACTAATAGAAGATATGAAAGGAATATGCTTGATCCAATACTCTGATTGGAATAGCCTATTACCATGTTTCCCAGCAAAAGACAAAGCAGTGCTAAAAACTTGCCTTATTAACGTAATTCTGGAAACACTGGTGTGGTGATGCAAGGATTGAAGAAAAGTGGATATTTTTATCTTAATATATGCCACTCGGCTACCGAAGTTAGAATTATCATTAAAGAATTCATGAGATAACATAATTCTACCATACGAAAAGCTATAGTGAAATGGTAAGTTGTTAATAACTCATTTTACCAATATATACCAATATATGTAAGTTACTTAAAGCTAAGTTACCATAGAATGCAACATTTAGTGTTCTCTGAGGCGGAAAATTGATCAGCACAATAACAATGCAAAATAAGCTAAACATTTAAACAATTAAGCAGGAATGTCAATATCCATGAATTTACCAGTTCCAGAGAATAGCATGCATGGCTGTTCTCTCATTGGCAGCTGCCCCTCCAGCAAAGAGTTCCACCACTCTGTCATCAGATACCACATCAGCTACCACCTTTGCTCTCACTCTTGCCTCCTTTCCATCACATCCACCAGATCCTATCACCTTATTCACAATCCTGATTGCTGCACCAGCACTGACATTACACCTTCCAACAAGTCCCAAAAACACCCCCTTTGCAGTTTCAGCCCCTGCAGTCCCCACAGCTTGAAAATATGACTCTACTGCTGACACCCAAACTCCCTCCGGAATTCCCTTATCCAACACCATGGACCTCAGCTCCTGCTCTGCCTCTCCAAACCTGCCCAACCCCAACCATGCCTTCATGGCCAACACACTCAAACTAGGATGCTGGTCCCTCTCACCACTTCTCAGAAACTTCACACACTTCAATGCACTCTCAAATTCATCTCTCTGCAAATGAGATGCTGCCATAAATCTAAGTGTCTTTGACTTCAGCTCCTTCAGGGCTAATGTCTCCTCTGTCCTTTTCACAATTCTCAATCCCTTCTCACACAACTCCAGTGCTTCATTCATCAGTTTTGATTCTTCATTCACTCCAGAAACTTCATTTTTGGACAGTATAGTCTTTGCAAACATCAAATACTGATTTGCTACAGCTTTGTAATTCTCTGCATTTCCAAACAGTAGGTTCTTTGATCGATTCAATAATGTGATACATAAATTTCGATCCGCAACTTCCCAAGCTGTTCGTGATCGAGCAATATTTAGGTCTAATAAAAGCCTTTTTTCTTCGTTATCTGAAACTGAACTGATTTCGACCTTTGAAGTTAGATCAGTGGCTTTCTCAAAGCAATTGTTGGCGAGATCGAACTTCCTGAGCTCGTGCCAAATAAGGCCGGTCTTATAGAAGAAGGAGGCGGCTTTGAAAGCCGGCGAGGGAATAGTGGAGACATCTCCGGCGAGGAAGAGTAGATCAGCGGAGACTTGTCGGAGTTTCGCATGTTCTTCGTTGAGTTTGTAGGCGGAGGATTTGACTCCGGCGGCGTTAGAGAGGTCGACGCAGGCGTTCCAGAGGCGGTAGCTGAGTTTCCATATCTGGAGCTTGATCGAGTTCGGAAGCGGTACAAGTGGAACCAGTTGAATAACGCAGCGGTTAAGCTCCGCGGAGAGAGTCTCAGGCAAGGGCTTTCCCGGGGAATGCCGTTCAATTTCCTTGATTGATAACTCCATTTGAGAGCATATGTGAGAGTGAGGATCATCGTGGGGGATTGGCCGGAGATCCGGCGAGGAAATTTCGTCGATTTTCATTGTTCTAGGAAATTTCAACGGAAATCAAAGCGGGAGACAAAACAGTGAAAGCGAAGATGGTGTCTCTTAGTCGTAGAGGATTTTTGGGGGGAAATTGATATAAGGTGATCATAATATGAAAAGAAAAATGTTGCCAAAGAGCTCAATAGCAGTATAGCACCTCTAAAGAAATTTCAAATTTCACTGAAATTACCAAGTGGCTTGTAGTCCACTGGTATTGGATTGCTCCCTTAAGTGGGAGGTGTAAGGTTCAAACCTCAATTAAGGCAATAGTGTGTATATGTAGGGTATCTCACTTCTTTATAATAATAAAATTTCACTGAAATTATTTTTTAATTTAACTTTTCATAATATTAAATTTAATATTATTAAATACAAAAATTTGCCAAGCACTTTTTATGCAGATGACATGTAGTGACTCTCTAGGAAATTATGAAATTGAACCTGACGGTATTGACTTTGTACTTCAACAAACAAAAGTATAGATGAACAGATAATACAATGTAATACATTCAATAGTACTAAAAAAAAATACAAAATTTATATATTTATAAATTACACTAAAAGTATTATTATATAAAAAAATCAAATTTATAAATAAATAAAAAAATTTAAAGAAAATAAACAAAGAAAAAATAATTAATTTGACCAACAAATAATAGGTAGGATTCGACAGGATAGATAAAATGATTTGGTCCCACAAGAAACAACATAGAGACTATGGGGTAAAACAGCAAAACAAAAGAAAACACTAGAGAGCCAAAATTATACAGAAATATAAACATGAACGGTGGTGCATATTAAAACATTACAGCATTAGCTTTTACAATAGACTAGAAATTAACAAGTCGGCAATTTTCAGTAATAAAATTACTCATAGGGTTCAAATTAAGCAAACTCAGAGGGGGTTAAGGACTAACAGCTAGAAGGGTAACCAAGTTCAGCGCTCTAGTAATTAGTGCAGGTAAGTTGCCTGGTAATGGTAGCCATTTGCAAAGAAGTTGCCATGCCCAGGGAGATTGTAAGCAGGAGTAGCCATGAACGAGGGGATATGGGTGTCGGTTGGTCCAGTGTAGGCATACTGTCTCTCGTACAAGAACGGTGGGTACCTGTCAGTGGTTCTTGCGTAGAAGTTCTTGTCAGTGGCAACGTTAGCAACTCGGGAACCATGGCAAACACCATTTGCACGGGGTCTTTTGGGTTGAGGTTTTGGAACTTCAGTTGCCCTTTTCTTGTCTGCCTTGGCTTTCTCCATCTGGAGAACTCGTTTTTGGATGGGATCCACAGGATATTGCTCCTCAAGATTATGATCCTCGATGCATTTAATCACAGCCTTCAGTGCATTCAATTCCTTCTCATTTATATCATTCTGGAATACAAGAAAAATATTACTCCTTAGCTTTTAGAAAATTGGGACAATAAAGGCATTCAATCTTATACAAAGCCTCAGCATGCCTAGCAGCCAAGGCTCCAATGTGGAAACCCTGATAACTCAATGCCTGCAATGGCTTTATGAACTAGTTGGTGATTCTGTCAAATTCAACAATTAACCATTTTACCGGAGTCAGAGAACTAACTCATCATCATACAAATAGTTCTCAGACTCCCACACAGCCACACTTTGGCCCCCTTCCCCTCTTTCCTTCCAAAAGGAAAAAAAAAAAAAACACAGTTAGGGGAAACAATCTATACTATGATAAACTGATAAAGGTGTTGAAAGTTTCTGATCCCATTGCAGAAGGCATCATATTTCATCAGACTATATTATCCACTCATCGTAATCTTCAGAGTACAGCTAGCTCTAAAAATATTAGGGTGAAAAGAACAAACCTGTACAGTGGGTGTATTTCCAGATTTTCCAGGAGAAGGAGCCTTGCTTGCCTCGTTCAGATAAGATTTCAGTAGAGGAACAGGTGGAAATTTCTCTGTCAGCTCAAAGGCAAAAGCTAGATTAACAGCATCTATTTGCCTTCCAATATTTACCAAGACATCAATAACACCTGTAAAGTTGCAAACAGAAAGCAACAGTGTTATAAAAACAATCTGCAGACTAATTAATTTCTAACGAATTTTTATTTTTTTTGGGTGAAAAAAAGAACCAAAAATATCTGCAGAAACTGATCAAAAAAATAAATTGATCTTTGGGCAGTTCATGCAACCATTATGTTAGAACCAACCTGGCATTTTATCTGAAAGTCCAAGGGAACGGCATAAATCAGCTGTTTGACGACGACGGGAAACCATGGGTATCAATTTGGTTAAATCCTCCTGGTCAAAATCTGAGTTAATACCAAAAGTCGCTAGAAGCTGTAAGAATGCATGAGCCTCCAAGGAGTTCCCGTGATTGGCATCAACATCCAGATCATCCAACTTTGGTTTCCAGTCTTCAGCAATAGTTTTTGCTCGAGCCTTAACACTTTCAGAGATCACTCTTGGAATAGACTCCATTTTCATGTTTGACAATAAACTGCTGAGGCACTCCATCAACATTATACAGGTTCGCCGAAGACCTAAGAGGTTTGCATCTTTTTTAGCATCTGAATTTATTATTTCTGAGCTGTAGAAACCCTTGAGTGAGTCCAAAACCAAAGAGGCAGGGTCAGCTGCAGCCTTCAGAGCATGTGGAATCTCCTCTCTCATAGCAGCTAGGTCCTTGCGGTTGTCTGATATAAATTTGTGGATGCCATCTGAATCCATCTCTTGGCATAGCTTAACTAACTCAGGATAAGATTTCACCTCCACATTTCCATTCTCATAATGCTCCCCATTCTCTTCAGTGTTACTCTCTGTGACCATTGCATTAAGAGGCTTTTCTTGCATAACAGATGAATCATGTTGGTCCTCAATATTAATGGTAGGTTCCACAGAAAATGGCTTCCGGCGCTTTTCTAGAGCAAAGGAAATGGCAGAAACTGCAGCATCTCTTTTCTCTTGGAGCCTTTCAAGTGAAGCTCTCTCTTTAGCCACAACAGCTGCTGCACGCTTCTCCAACATCTCTTTAGACTGAACTATTTTTGTTTCAAACTCCTTCTCTTGATCTTCCAATTCTGTGAAACGCCTTTTCAAAGACTTCTCAAGACCATGAAAATGTTCTTCAAGTTGTTTCCATTTCATGTTGAGGGTAATTGCGCGGTGACTTTCAAGCTCAGCAAATGCTTTCTGCAGTTGCTGGATCTTTGAGGTAGTCGAATGCATGAGTATCTCAACTGACTGAGAATCTTCCATGGCAGATTAGCCCTGGAGAACCATAATATACAGCTTAGCAGATACCGAATGTGAACAAAGAAACAACAGAGCCACACTGGCCAATTCAAACAAATTCTTAATTCATTCCTTAAAACTCCTATAATAGAGCCACCACTCTGACTTCATCTCCTCCATATTCACTCACAGAACAATGGTAACACAGTGAAAGGGCCCATCCATCAGTCAGACATCAAGATTCAAGATGTGGATAGTACAAACAATAATTGTCCTTTTAAGTAATAAATCAACCCTATGGCTCATTAATGAAGCTTCTCTTGTATATCTTGCATTATTTACCCATGGATCAGTAGAGTTCATGATCATTCTCAAAACACCAACCCGTAAACTTCATTTATCAAAGGCCTCACTAAAATCCCCAAATTTTATAGGATACCACAGAGGACATCATTCAAGAACAAAAGAAATTGCTATCCAAAACAGTAAAACCCAGTCTATAGTTAATAGTATTATTGATAGAAAAATGCATCAAAAGAAATAACAAATAAATAAGTAGAAATTGAGTAAAAATTTCAAAGCTCAAAAGCTAAGATGAAGCGAATGTAGAGGGCATGCCACAACATACCGAAGCGATAACGAGCTAAAATTTCAGCGATAAGTGAGAACACAGCAGAAATTGACACTCGGATCGGAAACGCGACTGAAAAATAAGCATAATTAGTAAAAGCGAAAAGTCTAATTATAATACACCGCACAAACCAAAATCAAAAAATTTTAAAAGTTGAGGTTTTGAAAAACAATACCTGATCTAAAAACAGAGAGGGAAATAAAGCGAGGGAATGAGCAGATGAGAGAGCAACGCGGTGAACTTACCGGATCGGAGGTGAGAGGCGGAGGCTGAGGGCGGCGGGAAGTCGCCGGAGAATCAGACCATTTTGGTGGCGAGGGAGGGTTTGGGATACAGTGAGCGAATCCCTAAAGAGAGGAAAGAGGAAAGTATCAGCGAGAATGTTGAGTGGTATTTATGACAAGTCTCCGACACACACGCACACGCAGACAGACACACCTCTCTCTCTCTCTCTCTCTATCTATCTGTGTCAGAAGATGAGTGCGTCAAAAGTGGTCTAAACTGTAAAGATACAGCTAGAAGTATCTTTATACACATCTCAGCTAAATTTACTACTCTGTAAAAGGAAATTTTTACTGAGTATACATTTTGAATCAGATATATTTGTCAAAATTTTAAATCCATTTACTGTTTGTGAATTTGAAACTGCTACTGTTTGCCGTGACGAAAACAGCAATATTTGTGTACTTTCGATAAAAACACGATGAATTTGAAAACAGTAGATGATCTATCTTTGTGGGAATGATCATTGAGATAATTTGGATTTGATTCTTATAAATAAAAATTTCATTGAGTCAGCTCTCATGTCTCTCAGAGCATAAAGAGATCAGTCAGAGATTATTTTATAGAATTTGGTAAAAATGGAAGACAAATTATATCGTTCACCAATATGCACAATCCTTTGTGCCTCCTGATTTTCCAATCTGTTTTTCTTTTAGAAATTTCGTTTTCTATTTATACCGTTAACTTCTAAAAAAAATCTCATGTTTCAAATTTACATAATTGTATAATAGAATACACATAAACTCATAATATAATACACATAATCTAACATAATAAATAATACGCATAAACTCTTAACAGAATACACAAAAACTCTTAACATAATACACATAAACTCTTAACATAAAAACGACGTCGTTTTGGACAGGACGCACAACGCATTGTGCGCCCTGGTGCACGATATAACGATTAGAAATGGAATTGCAATTTCATCCTACCAAACACCCCCATTAAAGAAATAGTGTTCTCTTACAACATGAATTGTATTCTATTGGAATATATTTTTTAAAAGACATAAATACTCATATACAAAATACAAACTCATAATATAATACAAAATACTCTGCTGGCAGCCTCCCCGTTCTGGGCATAGTTTTAGCATACAAGGCCTTGACCGGATTCAAGTTACCCGAGCACCCCACTTACGATGGGTCAGGGGACCTGCGTGATCACGTAATCAGCTTCCAAGCTAAGATGCAGGTAGTCGGAGCCCGAATATCCAATGATCTGTCGGGCGTTCTTTCTCACCTTGGCGGGACCCGCGCAATGCTGGTTCATAACTCTTTCTCCGGGGTCGATCACTAACTTTGAGGAACTGGCGGACTGGTTCCTGACGCATTTTGCCGAGAGTATGAAGCCCAAAAAGTACATCTCGGACCTTTACCGAGTGCACCAAGATGAATGGGAGAGCCTATGTAAGTAAATACCGCGATGGTAGAAGGAAGCTCAAGCAGTTGAATGCCTGGGTGATAAGACCGTCCTAACATTCTTTATCGAGTCCCTTCGACCGACGGTCATTACAGTAAGCTGAGGGATGAAAATCTCAGGACCTACGCTCAGGCTATCCAGAGAGCCAATAAGCTCACGGACACTAAGGCGGTAGTTAGGCAGAAGCGGAAACAGGAAAGTTACACCAATAAAAGACCGTTGTCGGACAATGCCCGTGATAGTCAATCGGAGGAGCAAGGTGGTTCGCGTTGAGTGCAAGACCGAATTGGAGCTTCTGCGTACAGACTCGTAGCGCAACCAGTCCATGAATTTCACGATCAGTTACATTAAAACAATACTTCTAAAATTGTGTTCGTGCATCGCACAAGAAAAATACTAGTACACACACACACACACACACACACACACACACACACACACACACACACACACACACACACACACATATATATATAGGGAGGGGTTCTAGTGCGTTAATTTGCTCAAGTGCGGACGTGTGGCTTAATATGAGTCGTTGATCAAATCTAGCAACGGCTCAAATCAATGAAAATTAAATAAAATAAAAAAAAAAAAAAAAAAAAAAAAAAACGAGTCACTAGAAGAAACCAAGCAATTTAACCTTCAGTACACAAATCACGCACCTTAAGTACACAAAACATGCACATTAAGAACACAAACCACGCCTCTAAGGTTTTAAAATGACGCACCTTAAGTTTCAACAATTCACGCACTTTAAGCATACAAATCACACATCTTAAGAAGGAAAACAACGCACCTTAAGAAGGAAAATCACATCTTAAGAAGGAAAACCACACACCTTATGCTTCAGGCTGACGCACCTTAAGTTTCAACAACTACTCACATTAAGCACACAAATCACGCACCTTAAGCAGAAAAATCACGCACCTTAAGCACGAAAACCACGCACATTAAGCACAAAAACCACGCACCTTAAGTTTCAACAACTACTCACATTAAGCACACAAATCATGCACCTTAAGCACAAAAACCACGAACCTTAAGCACAAAAATCATGCACCAACAACTACTCACATTAAGCACATAAACCATGCACCTTAAATTTGACCTAGATGCAAAAATTACAAAATTGTCACCGCATATATATGTATGTATATAACTACAAGATTATAATAAAAACAATTAGAGTTCAAGAATTTTATTTGAAAGGATTTCTATATTTTAGATAGTTCATGTTAATATTAAAAAAATAATTGTAAAGTTAATAAATTGATACTGAAGTAAAATGGATAAAATTAGGAATTATCTTAATTATAATAAAGTCATATGGTCTTGTGAAAATTAAATGTTGATATTAATGGTTAAATGTTGGTATTAACAACATTTAATTTTCACAAGACCATATGGCTTTAAGAAACATGCATGCACACCACACGTGCAACCCCAAAGTGCATAAGTTTGAAATTAATATATAGCATAGCTAGACGGCCTAATATTTAAGATTGTTGATGTGCATATCGAGGATTACGGAGACAAAGATGCGTTATTCGTGGATTCATCGGATACTGTCCAACAACACTCTCCAACTTAATTGACGTGAAGTAGGCTTAGTAACATTAAGATTATATCCTCGAATTATATTAGTTCTCATCTTTTATCGATTACACACTTAATTCGATAGTATTTGGAAGAAAAAATCAATATTCGAACTAAGATTGTGATTGTTTGGTCTTTAAAGGTCAATTGTATGTTGCTACATCTAGAGTTAGAAATTTCAAAGGTCTAAAAATTTTGATCCGTGGTGACTCTAAAATTGTAATTCAATTACTATTGTAGTTTACTAAGTTCTTAAAAATTTGTAATATTAAATACTATGTACTAAATTTTTAATATAGTTTAAGATTTGTAGTAATCACCCACCTTAAATATTATTTTAATTGTAAATATATTTATGTTCATAATTTTATCATAGGAATTCACACATAATAATTATTAAATAACAAAAAATTTATATATGAATAAACCTCATATAGGGTATATTTTTATAACATATTTTCCGTGCATGGGACAAATACTAGTTATCTAAATAACTGAAGTTCAATTGTTACAAATGATCCTTTTTAAATAGTCCTCTTTTTATAAGATCGTTCTGTTTTGGAGATTGATAGAGAAAGTAAATCGTTAGATATATCTCAATTTTTTTTATTTTTTTATTTTTAGTTTGAAGCCTAAATTTAAGGACCTATCATCGCTCTTGTCTTGAGATATGTCATTCTTTTATAAGTTTGAAATCCAAACTTAAGGACTCATCAACGCTCCTGCTTTAGAGATTAGTGGAGAAAATAAATCATAAGATGTGGCCAAGGACCTTGTGATCTAGTGGTACCAAGTTGTTATCTCATATGGAGATTGTGGATTCAAGCTTCATTGAAGACGATATTGACTCTTTGTATTTTATATTTTGAAAAATAAGTTTAAAACTATTCTATTTTAGTAAATAATATTTCAAAATACCTTACTTTGATTTTAAAAGAAAAAAAAAAACTAGGAGGATGTAGGGAGTTTATAGTAGGAATAAGGCTCAAATACGTAATTGCATTTGTCTAAAATATGTAATTAAACCCCTAAATTAAAAAATAATAAAAAGAAGTCTGAAATAGACCCTTAGTAAATTGGATGTCAGTTCATGTTTTTTTAATCTAATAGAGCAAACTTCAACTGTAGGAGCATGGGGTTGAGTTCGTAATTTTAGAAGGGCTGACTGGCTGAGGGTGTGTTTTGCTGTAAGAAAAACAAAATGGCCCATGTAGGTCTCGAACCTGTGACCTTCACGTTATTAGCACGACACTCTAACCAACTGAGCTAAGGAGGCCAATTGGTTTTGAGCTTCCTACAGTTTATTCTAGATTAATAAGCTAAAATGCTAAATCAATTGAATCAAAAATATGAATCCATGACCGCTTTGATACATTAACAACCAATCCAATTATACAAAGTTTCCATTTTACCATTATTGTTAATTGATAGTTGCCCTCATGGATGGCACAAATTAAGAGATAAATTTGTCGAAATCAAATTCTAAATTACAGGTAATACAACGAGAAAATTGAATTGTTGCTAGAACAAAATGTTGATTAATCAAGGTGAAAATTTGATTGTTTTGTTAATGTTCTTTGCTTTTAATTTAATTTAGCGAAAAAACGCTTAGAGAATAAAATAATAGAAATACTTCAATAGTACGGAGTAATATCCTACATCATCAATAGTAAAGACATATTTTAAACAATAGTAAATGTAAATTAAAAATGTAACGAAAATTAAAAATAAAATGAAAATATTTCAATAATAATATTCTAAATCATCAATTAAAAATGAAACGAAAATTGGGGAAAAATATCATTGAATTTGATATTTTAGTTCGCTAATTGATTAATTGACTAAAAATAAAAAAGAAATAAATTGCTGAAAATGAATATGATATTACTAATGGACTAAAAATATAAAAGGAAATGAATATTAATAATTGACCGCAAATAAAAAATTATCCATAATTGACTAATATGAAAAAAATAAATGGTTAGATCATTGCATTTTAATTAAAAATGTAAGGGAAACTAAAATTGAACGCCAATTATTTCAATAATAATATTTTACATCATAAATAGTAAATGCATATTTTAAACAATAGTAAAGGTAAATTACAAATGGAATAGAAATATTTCAATAATAATATTATACATCATCAATTA